TCTCTCTCTCTCTCTCTCTCTCTCTCTCTCTCTCTCTCTCTCTCTCTGTGTGTGTGTGTGTGTGTGTGTGTGTGTGTGTGTGTGTAGGCCTGTATGCCTATAGCCTGGGGAAATCTGAGGCAAGAGGATTAAATAGGCAGGAGGACTAGCCAGTGCTAACCTTGGACTAAATAGAGAGCTTGTCTTAAAACAAACTGCAAAGGAAACAAAACAGAAGAGAATCGAGCGGGATCCTAACACAGAAGAGACAGACCCGGGGAAGGGAAACTTGTCTTGCATGAGGAAGTTATGCATACTTTAAAACTAGAGCTTCAGAAGGCGAGTGAGTACTAGAACTAGTTAAAAAGGATGCATAGGGGAAAACCGTCGAAGCTGACTGCGGCACGGGTCCCGGGCTGAGGTTTACTGGACCTAGTCGGTGGGAAACGTCTGCAATGTGGAGAAGGCAGAAGAGCCAACTGGGAATGAAAAAATGACTGACAATCTGCCCTAGAGAGCCCACCAAGGAATTTCTTTGTAGCATATAAAAGCTGACATCTGATATGCTGTATCAAGAGATTGCTGTCTACTTTGTTTCCCACGTGCACAAATCTTCTGCGTAGTTACGAGAAAAACTGAGCTATCTGTTCCAAACAGCTTATCCAAATGAACTGAGGCATGAGGAAGACAAATAAACTCTCTTCTGATGTCGAAAAGTTACAGAGGATCATTTAATGTTGAAATCAAGTTATGTTCGTTACTGTTGATTTGGTTGTTAACTTTATTATTGTTACATTTGGCTGAGTCATTCCTGGGCCCTGAGTAGTAACGGTCACGTGAGAGTAAAACATTATAATAGCAAGATGATTAGATTGGCCGTAGAAACTACCCTGGGATTATAACACGTAGCGAAGTAAAAGTAAAGCGCCAAAGCATTGCGAGGGAAGACAGCCCGGGAGCATGTAGCCTGGAGCTCACAGCCCTACCTGGGGCCTGAGCGCAGTAGCCCAGCGCGCTCAGAAGGGTGATCAGCAGTCCCACTCCCGCTAGCCGGACAGACCCCCGAATCCTGGGGCGGGATGACTCCGCAGCCCATCTAGGGGCTCCACCCTTCTCCAGACAAGGGCACACCCTAAGGTCTGGGAGCATCGCTCTCGGAGAAATTCAAGCTCTTCTTTGATTGTAGCCCCAGAAAAACCTCTCCAACCCCTCCCCAAGGGCAGCGCTGATCCGAGTTGCGGAGTTGGCTGCACCTGACGTCTAGTGACCCGATTGCACCTCCTTTCCCTCCTCCTTGGGGGCCCCCCAGCCCAATCCGGTTCCAGCAGCTTTAAGACTGCTAGTGAACTGCGCACGCGCACATCTGGAGCTAAACGTTCTCTACCAGAGGCGGCGCTCTGGTCTCCAGGCAACGGGATAACAGAGGTGGACGGAGTGCGCCTGCGTGGACGGCGGTTGGGTTTAGTCAGGTGTGGAAAACTAGGTCTTGGGGATTTTCCTTGAGCTGGAGCGGCCCCCCCGAGCGCCTCAGGTACGCCGAAAGGGGAGACACGGAGACCTCCCGAGGGGTTGGAGAGTGAGAGTTTAATCCCTAGAGACCGGGTCCCAGTAAGGGCTCCGGCTTGACCCTCTGGGACAGAACATGACTTCGGAGTTCCGGATCCAAAGCGGGCTGGGGCGCTCAAGTGTCTGGCACCCCGTCCCCCAACACACACTCTTTGCAAGTACTGTTTGAGCCGTAGAGCATTTTTGACAGCCAGGCACCTGCTTCAGGCCCAGGCGGCCTGAATCCGTGCAAACTACTCTTTGTAGTTTGCAGTAGGGGGAAAGTCCAGGGAGCTCTTTGGGCCAGGCCCTGTCGCTAGGCCACTGAGGGACTGGTCTCAGAGCGGCCTCTGCAGTTTGCAAGAACCGGGGCTGGTAAGAACAGGTTGCCTGTTTTGTGTCACAGACGACCTTCGATCTAAAGCTTTTCCCACTCATTCCATAAGTGACATATGACAGGTCATATACGAGACTGGAGGAAAGTCAGTGGCAGAACACCTGTGTCACGTTCACGCTTTGGTCCTCCGGGCTTAGCAGTGTCTGGCCTGGCACATACTCATCACTCACTAAATGCTTATTGAAAGAATATGCTGGCAGATCCAACACCACAGTCCCGAGAAACGTTTAAAGGGAACGTGGGTAGGGCAAATGTACAAACAGTTTACTCTAGCAGCCGGGAGTGAACCTCAGACAAATTCTTCACATGTATCTGGTTTAAATCTCCCCTAGGCTTCAGTCCAGGCACTGAATGGCTGGTCTCCAGTTGGCTCCACATCTGCCTGTGGGCGTTATGTTCCCACATAATAAAACAGAAGCTCCTGGGCTCCACTCGGCTAAGCACGACCCTTACGAACATAGTGACTCTTCCCAGCGGTCCTCCATGGGACATTTGAGGAATACGTTCCAGCAGAAGCTTTGGAGCAACACAGAGCTTGGGCGGGAGGATGATGTCTCCACCCACCCCAAAAGGAACATCTGCACAAAAGCCCGGAGGCACTCCTGTCCCCACAGTGCAGGAATCAGCCAGCAAGGCTCAGGAAACAATGACCAGGGCCAAAGAAAGGGGTTGTTTTACTTGTCTAGCCCGACACCCCGGTATCCCAAAGCAAATGACCAGGATTTCATTCCCTTTAGGAAGAAACGAGTTGGCGTGGATCGGGCATACCCACTGAAACCCATGGTCCACCGGAAGTCACACAGTACAAGTGAAGCAGGCACTGACGGGGACCAGAATGGCTACCCAAGACTCCCTGACTCAAGTGAGTTTTCAGACAACAGCTTTGGTTTAAGGAGCTGGATGAATTCATCTCTTCTTGCTTCGGTGCCGGCAGAGAAGGTCATAGCAGAGGTCCATAGGATGGAGTGGACCCAGATCCAAAGGCTAGAAGCTGCAGGGGAGAGTTTACAGAAGGAAATCCGAAGAAAGGAGATTCTCCTGCGAGAAAAGCTGAAGAAGACAGAGGAGGGTCTTCGAAGGATTCAGAAGGAAAAGAAACAGGCCATTTCCCAGGAAGACGGGGAGCTACAAAGGATGGTACTACCTAGGAGGAGGGTTAGAGATGGTGACCGCAACACCACACACAAACCCTGCTTGTCCCCAGAGGTCAGGTCTGAGGTATTCAGTAGAAACAGGGGAGAGGATCAAACTTGTGAGCAGGCTCAGGAAAACTCTAGTCCACTCCAGCTCTCTGACTATGAAATCCAGAAGCTCAAAAGGGAAAGGCTGATGGCAAGTAACAGTAAAATCCGAGACCAAGACTCAGGACCCTCAGCAGACACCTTCTTTCAACCTTCAGAGGACCTGGGCAGTGCACTGCAGGCATCAAGTTTGTGCGGAACCCCAGGCTCCTCAGGCTCCGGCTCCTCTACAGAAGAGCCAGAACTGAGCAAGTGCAGCCACTGTGGACGATCGTTTCTTTCCCTCAGGCTGCAGAAACACTCCGCCGTCTGTGGCAAGATGCAAGGCTCCAAAAGAAAAGTGTTTGACTCCTCCAGGGCCCGGGCGAAGGGCACAGAACTAGAGCAGTACTTGAACTGGAGGGGGCCAGCCACAGCCAAGGTAATAAAAGCCTCCTAGATTTGACTCTGTGTGTGGGTGCGTGGAATGGCCTGCTATGTCCTCACCGGTTTTCTGGTGGGAACTAGAATCATGTGGGACCGAGGGGGAGAATCAGGATATCTGCTTGCCAGTCTCTCTAGTCAGAGCTTTACGTAGGAGCCTCACAATTCTGTGAGGATAAGAATCTTACTGTGTCTGTGGGAATGTCATTACATCCATTCACATATCAAGGCCTTGGGCAGTGGTGGCACATGCCTTTAATCCCAGCACTTGGGAGGCAGAGGCAGACGGATTTCTGCGTACGAGGCCAGCCTGGTCTACAGAGTGAGTTCCAGGACAGCCAGGACTACACAGAGAAACCCTGTCTCGAAAAACCAACCAACCAACCAACCAACCAACCAACCAACCAACCAACCAACCAACCAAAAAAAAAAAGAAAAAAAAACTAAAAAAGAAAGAAAGAAAGGAAAAGGAAAAAAGACTCTATTTCTAAAATCAAAGCCTAGACTTCCCCTAGACTGACACAAGTCCCCACATGCGCACGCACGTACTTGCACGCAAACACACACACACGCACACGCACACACACACACTGAATAGCTTAAGTAGACGTCTATCTTTCATCTACATCTTCAGAGACCTGTATGTAGGAGATGTACAGTTGATTGCTAATCAATAGCTCTTGCTCTTGAGTTAGTTACTATCCTAACACCTTTATGAGGTGGGACCAATAGATAAATCTTACTTGAATTGACCCCAAAATCTAGACTTCAAAATATATGTCCTTTTGATTATTATAAAAACGAATTCATGTTTGCTGCAGGAAAAAAAACTACATTTGAAAATGTGCATTTTATTTTAAAACAACTGTAAAATGCGTACTTTCTTGATTTATTACAGGAATCCCTTGTTTTTCCGTTATCATTCTCACTAGTCTCTTTCAAAATTAGTTCTACTTTGATGTACTTTCTTAGTAAATTCAAGAAACACATGTAAGTTTGGATCCCTCCCCCTGACTAGTTAAGAATATTAACATCATAGGGATAAAGTACCTTTTCCCCCTGTATCTCAAAAACAGCCCTCACTTAAAAAAAAAAACCAAGTGGAAACCCTGAGGTCTTCATGACACACAGCTGATACTGCTCAGGGCGATTAGTCCAGTTAATTAGTTATGGGCTAATTTACACCCACCTGGAGATGGTTGCCCCATAACCAACCTTCAAGGGAAAGCCACTTGGTTTGCAAAATAAGAGTTTCTCAACATTATTTTAGAATGTATGGGAAAATATATTAAGCCTGTAATTTCTGGAGGGTCATGAATTTAAAGAAAAATATTAAAGAATAAGATGGTAAGGGTTGGGATAACCCATGTTAGACAGCCTCAAAGGGCTCATGTAACTCTAATCGTCTGGGAAAAATAGAATCTATTTCTGTTTTTATTTCTTCCCAAGAGAAATGTGTCCTCAGGGGCTTCCTCTCCCCACCCCTTTTCTCTCTTCTCCTCCTCAATGGCTGACCCGGAACTCACTCTGTAGACCAGGCTGGCCTCAAACTCACAGAGAGCCACTTGTCTCTGCTTCCCAAGTGCTGGGATTAGAGGCATGGGTCACTACACCCAGTTCCCAATTCTCTCTTCCCAGGACATTACAGTTTAAATGTCCCCTTGCTAAACCTTTTTAAAAAGCACAATGGTGTGATGGATGTTCGAGAGTAACCTATAATTACAGTGTTTTCTCTTAGTACAATTTGAGAGATCACCACAAGAATGTCTCTCCCACGTTCAGAGATGATCTCCCTAGAACCTAGCTTCCAACAAGAAGTTGGCATGTCGCTCTGACAGATAATGACAGGATGGCCAGTTACTATTCTTTCCCCTTTGGTCAACCTAGTAATTCACTGGGGATTCCCTCCGGCCTATCATAATAATTGACTTGGGGCCATCATCGAAACTATTCAGTGCTTCTTAAGTTCCTAAATACAGTGGCAGTGAAGCTGCAGACAGCCCCACCCCAGCTCTAAGCAGACCCATTTGAGGTCCTGGGCTGCACTGGGGACACAAGGCAGAAAGGACTTGGGTTGAGCTGAGCTGCACTCCAACCTGGGAGTGTCTCAAGTCTCTCTCCAGAGTTCTGTGCCCTTGAGAGCTAAGTGGCTGCAGGCCCTCGTCTTTCTTCCCGTATACTCTGAGAACCTTTGAGTCAGTTAATATCCATATAACGTCCAGCAGACACAGAGGCCGTCCACTATACTGTCAGTACGGGAGGCAGGAGCCCACACACGTCTTTGTCCTTAATGTATTAAGGACCATTTCAGTATGCTACAGAATGGAAACATAGCTACTGCACGGCTGAACATCCTTCGGGCCGAATTCTTTTAAGGTTCCTGGCTGCCATTTCAACACCAGTTCTTTTGTCTTTGTTTCAGTGAAATACGCCTGGTCAAGCCTGCTCTTCCCATTTTTTTTTTTCTCTGAATGGTATTTTATTTCTCCTTTATAAGTTCCACATAATAGACAAAGGCTTTTTGATAACATATTGTTATCTTTGCTCAAAATGATCATATAATCATTTCCCTTTGATAGCTTTCCTTGTTCTTACCTTTTACCAAGAGGGTTTTTTTAAATTCTTTTTTAAAAATTATTTTTAAAGATGTATTTATTTTATGCTTATGAATGCTCTATCATCATGTACACCTGCACCCATTATAGATGGTTATGAGTATGAGCCACTATTTAGTTACTTGGGCTTGAACTCAGGACTTCTGGCAGAGTAGACTATGCTCTTAACCACTGAGCCATCTCTCCATCCCCCTTTTAAATTCTCTCTCTCTCTTTTTTTTTTTTTTTTTTGAGACAGGGTTTCTCTATATAGCTCGGGCTGTCCTGGAACTCACTCTGTAGATCAGGCTGGCCTCGAACTCAGAAATCCGCCTGCCTCTGCCTCCCAAGTGCTGGGATTACAGGCGTGTGCCACCACTGCCCAGCTTAAATTCTCTTAAAGATCAATATTTATTTACTTTGTGTGTGTCAGTGTGCACACACACATGTTGAAATCAAAGGACAACTTGTGAGAGTTGATTCTTTTATTTATCCCCTCTTATGGCTCTTAGGATAAACTTGGGTCATCAGGCATGAGGTGACAGGCACGCTCACCCACAGAAACATCTTGCTGACTCTAATTTTATTTTAAATAGTTTGTTACACACATTTATTTAAAAACCCATATGGTACTAAATGATCTATAATGCAGTCTTACTTCATCTGTCTCAGGTCCCCACTTGAGTCCGCAGCTGTGTGAGATGTCTTCTGGTCTGGGTTTCCATGTTTCTAAATAACACACTCACTTCCTTGACCACCAGCCTTCCATGTTCTCTGACGTCTGCTTGCAGAGCCTTGTCCCCTCGCCTTCCCCATTATTACTCTCCCTTCCACTCTAGCTGACCACAGTTCTGATCTAAAACAGTGAGGGTTTACAGGACCGAAGTTCTACATCTTCTCTGATGTCAATTCTGCTCCTGCCTGCATGTCCTTGGTGTAAGTCACCGGCTTAGTTTTCAGCCCGTTCATTTTCCATGGATCTATACTTAAAAATCTCCCTAACCAACTAGATGTTAGGCCTGCATGTATGCATTGCCTAAGGAGACCATGAGGAGGCACGGGGTCCTCTGGGACTGGAGTTACAGACTATCGTGAGCCACCACATAGGTGCTGGGAATCAAACCTGGGTCCTCTACCAAAGCAGCCAGGCATTTGTTAATTTTTTTGTAAGTGTCCAGATATCTTTTTAAAAAAAAAAAAACAACAAAAGAACCCCCCAAAAAAACCAAGATTTATTTATTTTATATATGTGACTACACTGTTGCTGTCTTTAGACACACCAGAACAAAGCATTGAATCCCATCACAGATGGTTGTGAGCCACCATGTGGTTGCTGGGAATTGAACCCAGGACCTATGGGAGAGCAGTCAGTAACTGCTCTAACCACTGAGCCATCTCTCCATCTCTCCTTTTAATAGTTTAAGATGTTTTTCTTTTCCCCCAAATTCTAGAAACTTCTCTTTCTCCTCTTGCTCTATCTGGAGTGCTTGTCCCTTGGCTTTGGAATTTCCATTCACTTTTCTTCTGTGTTGGATCCTGTCTTTTTTCTTGTTTCCTTGTTTGTTTTGCTGGAAACTTATCAAGAGATATGCATAGGCAGTGTATTCTTATTCATGGAATTAAAGAAATTGTCTACATAAATGCTTCCTATTTGACTTGGCTGGGTATAGAAATCTCGGTGGGAAGTGATTTTTTTAGACCTTTGTTTTTAAGACATTGCCTCATTGTGTAGCCCTGGCTAGCCTGGAACTCACAGAGATCAGCCTGCTTCTGCGTGGCTCTTTATAAGAGCATTTATTTAAAAAAAAATTGTCAAAGAACCAACTTAATAAAAGTTATTAAAAAAGAAATATTTCATGATTTCTCACTTTATTAGAACTCTTAAGACATCTTTCAGCACCCACTGTTTACTGTTGAGAAATTTCATGTTGTTTTGACTCCCGGCTTCAGTTTATGAAACCAGTTTTGTTTCACTTCCAAAGGCTAACAGGGTTTTCCTAACTCTGAAGTTTGACGGTTTTACAGGCATCCTTTTGAAGGTTTGGTAAGCATTTCAAGTTCCGAGACTTGTGATCTTTAATTCTACAAATGTTAATTATATTATTTCCTTAATAACTTCTTCTTGGGCTTTCTGTGCTTTTTGGAACAAGTTTGCTCACATGTTGATCTTTCCAGACTTCTCCTTTCTATCTGGTCTCATTTTCCCATTCTGAGAGGTGTTTTTTTTTGTTTTTTTTTTTTTTGTTTTTTTTTTTTAATTTTGCAATGCTTCTTTTTGAGTTTTGACTATCCGGTTTTTAATTTATAGTTGTTTTGTTTCTCTGGTTGTTCCCTTTTCATAATATATTCCCTTTGTGGACAAAATCTTTTTAAAAACAATTTATTTTTATGTACATGGGTGTTTTGCCTGCATGTATGCATTGCCTAAGGAGACCATGAGGAGGTACGGGGTCCTCTGGGACTGGAGTTACAGACTATCGTGAGCCACCACATGGGTGCTGGGAATCAAACCTGGGTCCTCTACCAAAGCAGCCAGTGCTCTTAACTGCTAAGCCATTTCTATACCCTGGACACCATATTTGATATTATATTTTTCTGTTAACACTCTTTTCTCAGTTTCCTGCGTTGTTTTGTACTTTAGGACCTTTTCTCTAGATAAGCTCTCATCAAGGATCTGTCACTCTCTGCCTGTTCATTTAGATTTTTTTTGTTTTTATTTTTGATTTTGATTTGAGACAGGGTCTCACTCTTTAGCTCTGGCTGGCTTTGAATGCACAGAGATCCTCCTGTCTCTGCCTCCTGAGTGCTGGGATCAAAGGTGTGTGCCAGCACAGCTTGCTGTTCCTTGGTGTTTAAGCTTTAGTGGGTTTATTCAGTAAAGGACTTCATACTGAAGTTATGAAGTAGTGAGTCCTATGACCGTGGCTCCTTGAGGTCAGTATTGGAAGGCTCACTGAGTGAGTCCAGAGAGCTTCAGCCCTCCTGAGAGTTTCCTGTTACTGTTACTAGTATGCTGGGACCCGATCTTAGAAAGGAGTCTGACAGGTCCGTGGCTGCTAGAGAACTCAGGCTTCCTCACCACCAGCACTGAGATGAACTCTGTTCCTTATCTTGTCTGGATTTTCTGAACTTAAACCCATCTAGGGGTTGGACAGCCACCTCAGTGGGTAAGAGTACTTGCTGCTTTTCAGAGGACCTGAGTTCAGGTGGCTTTTCCAAAAGACACCCTCTCCAGGCCTTCATTCATGGACCTTTACCCACACAAGGACGAGCACGCACACACACACACACACACACACACACACACACACCTGAAGTTTAAAAATATCTTTAAAAAATTATCTAGTTCAATTTCTTTAGAGAGAAAGGCTCTCTTCTCATGGGAGGGCACTGGGGTACTAGGCACCTGGATATACAGGGTAGGAGAGGAGCCCTAAGTTCCTCTTTTCGTCCCCACACCTTCTTCCTTTCAGCCTGACCCATCCCTCTCTGGTTGCTTTGCCTCCATGTAGGAGCCCTCCTCCTTGCAGGCTCTTGGGCTGTGCTTCCCTCATCGCGCGACGCCTTTTTGTTTGTTTGTTTGGTTGGTTGGTTTTGCCCTTTGGTCTTGAGGCCCTTTCCACAATCTCTCACGGAGCCCCAGAAAGGGGAACGATCCACGGCAACTGAAGGCTCAATGTTCCTTTTACATTACAGGCTGAACCTCCTCCTCGGAAGAGCACCTGGAGACAGAAGCACGAGTCTTTTATCCGTACACTCCGGCATGCGCGGCAGGTCCAGCAGGTAATCGCCAGAGGTGGCGATCCCTCAGACTTGCCTTCCATCCTGCCTGCAGAAAACCCAGACTATGTGCAGTGTCCTCACTGCAGCCGCCACTTTGCTCCCAAGGTGGCTGAACGCCACGTACCTAAGTGTAAGACCATCAAGAATCGCCCTCCACCTCCGAGGAGGCACGACTGCTGAGCAGACAACCGCAGGAACTGCCCCACTCAGGCTGTGCTTCCCTCCCTTCAGTAGTAAACCAGAGAGTAAGTGATGGAAAGCAGGGAGAAAGACTTTTCTCGAACTCAGGATCTGCCCATGAGAAGAGAGCCACTGCCTCACGGCAGGAGGCAAATGGAAGCCCCAGCTTCTCACTGAATCAGAACCTTGGCTGAGTGTTTCTGTTCTTGCCTGAAGAACTGGTAGGTGAGGACCCTGGGTAATGAGGCTGCATTAAAGCTCTTTTCCTGAGCCTAACCGTGGTTTGTGCTGGTGAAGTGCCCACATTCAGCGTTGCTCGGCCACGGCACGTGTCCAGGGTTTCTGTTAGGCCTTCTTGCCCTTGAAAGTTGGGATATAAAGATGAGTGAGTCAGGGTCCGAGTGTCACTGTCACGCAGATGGTGACTCTTATAAAAGGCAGTAAGATTGTGCTGTGAGGCGTTACTGATGGAAGTCTGTTCTTGGCCTCCATGGCCCTCGGTCCTGGCTGAAAGCCAACAAAAGTTTGTCCCGTTAGGGGGCCAGTGTATCCTAACCCTTCCCTGTGGTGTACTGTATAATGAGATAGCTTATGCACTTTACAGGATAGGGATGGATAGAAAACAATTTCACTTCTCTGTATTTGTTCTCTTTAAACGTGTTTCATATGTTGAAGGAAGAAGCTGCTGGTACACTTTCAAATATGGCCGTGTGGCTGGCTGCCTTGAGGCAGCAGAGCCTGTCTAAGCAAGCGTGGACAATGCTCACTGTTTCATGGCCCTGAGATCAGAACATAGTCATGCTTCTATTTTAAACTCTGAAAGGGATCAGGTCTTCTTAACCGTGGGAACAGTGCCCACTTCAAGTTAGGCCTTCGACTAATGGGTTTGGGGAGCTTACGAAGGATGACTGCTTAAGCTCCTAGAAGCACTGGCTATTTAACCTGACATGCCCTCTCCCCAGGCAAGCTTACTGAGGAGTACACACAGTTCTTTATTCCACAGAACAAAGAAGCCATGGCTAAAGTCACAAAGTCCCCACCGATGCTCAAAAATTTTAAAAGATTTACAAGTGTTTTGAATGCATGTATGTATGTGCACCAAGTGCACGCCTGGTGCCTGCAGAAGTCAGAAGGGTGTTGGATCTCCTGAAACTGGAGTTGCAGATGGTTGTGGGCCACCATATGTGAGCTGAGAGCCCAGCTCCTCTACAAGAGCAACAAGTGGTCTTAACTCAGAGCCATCTCTCCAGCGTCCCCACCCCACTCATACATAACATTCATAAATGCTATGAAGCATTTAAAAATATGTTGACTCTAGGGTAGGAGCATGTCATGACAATCTGGAGGCTGTGGAAACACTGGGCAGCAACCTACACAGGACACACTGGAAGGGGTTCAAAATCTGCCGTTCTGCTCCTTCAGGAGGGAATGATGGCAGATAGAACCAGACTCCCTTGCCTCATCTGCTGGGCCTCCTAGGCAAGTGGATTGGGATCCCATGATGATGTTATTAGGGCCATAGGTTAGAGCTCTCAAGAGGGAACAACTGTGTGTAGGGCTTTCTGCAGACATAGTAGTTATTCATTTTTAAGGTGCCAAAGAGAAAACAAGAACCTATGTCGTTGTATTCCCTGTGATCTTGGTTTTGTGTCTTCTAAATTTATCTGGATTTGACTCTGGGGGAGGTAAGGGCCACTTTCAACCTTAGAGATCACATAGATGCTGCCTGTAAATGTCCATGTTACTTTAAGCACGTGTTGTAAACGTTATACATTTTAAAGGTGAAAAGCTCTGGGAAATTCGCATGGTGAACCTCCCAAGGTAGCTCTTTTCATTTAGAAATGTGTGCAGACGTGTGGGGCTAAGACTTCCTGGCTCACACAGCAGTGCCTCTTGTCAACATTTGCTTTTGGTCAGGTGATCATTCTTCACAACCGCACAGATGGCGAGCAGAGCTGGGATGTAGATTTTCCCCCTCAAAGCCCATGACCCATGAGGTTTAATGATCAGCACATTTATGTCGGCAGTTAATCACTGAGGCAATAAATGACTTCAGGCTTTGCAGAGAATCTCCTAGTCCTGACTGGAGTCCTGACCCCGCCTCCCGCTATCATGACTGGTACTTCCTTTGAGGCCTGGGGATCTCATATAAGCGACTTCCTCTAAAATACCTACTTTTTCCTGGGCTGTTCTTCCCATCATAAATGTTTCTGAATAGATAACAAACCAAACGAAATCTGAGCATTAGGAGCCTTTTGTTTTAAAACTTTAGTACGATGTTCCGCCAAGAAAAGTAACAGCTGTTGTAGCAAGGAGACTGGGTTTTCCTGAGGAAGGTTTATAGACAAACTGGCATGACCACTTGGAAAAGTCTCCCGCCAGGACCAAGGAGGTGTGTACAACTCTGAATCTTCTCGATATTATGTATGCATACGGTGTGTATGAGTGAGGCATGCACACGCCAGTGTGTGAGGCCACAAACAGCACTGTGGACTCTGTAGGTTGGACTCTGGTCACCAGGCGTGCCCACAAGCCACTCCAACGTGCTAAGGGTCCTTCCTTAAATGGCTCCTTCTCCTTCTGCACTTTCTAAATTTTTGCAAACTTTTGGGGACAATTTTTTTTTTCTGGCAAGAATGAGATTAAAAAACAGCAGAGGTTATTTCCGTGTAATGTCTCTTGTGTCATTTCTGTTAAAAGAACACTTTTATTTATTTATTTATAGAAGACTCACAGAATTAGAGATTTCCCAAGGTCTAGAACTGTGGGTGTTCCATCTCCGGTGACTGAGGTGGTGGACAGGCTCACTGAAGCACAGCACTTTCGGAGAGTTTAAACATTTATTTAAAACAGAAAAGCCGCACCACGCCATCCTCATCCTTCCCAGCATCTGGCTAACAACAAGCTGGCTCTGCAGCCTAGTGTTGGCACAGAGGATAAACGCAGGCTATACTGTAACTCAAAGCAACACTACTGGGAAGCTTCAAACACCTAGTACTGCATAGAGGAGAAGCAGGACAATTTTTGAAGATTTAGCTATAGAAAACCATTTGAAGACATTTCTGCTGTCTTGACTTTTACTCAACCCAGTGTATGGTTGTGACTGTTGAACTGGTTTTTGTTTGCATAGCTGTTTGGTAGGGAAAAAAATCTTACGGTTGTCCTAGGCACAATTCTGGAAAGTGCAAATTGTCTCTAAGGCACAGAACTTAGATTCTCAGCTAGATTAATAGCAAACCTAGACTTCCCAAAGGAACATGGTAGAGAAAACGACCACCATGCTCTACTTGAGCATGACTCCCAGGACTCCTGCCTGCCTCAACACTCACTGTCACACACAGTCAGCAACATGCCCATACCCCTCAGCTCCAGAGCAGATACAATGCTCATACTGAACGCCCTAATCCCTGCCTCTCAGGCCTGCTGAGATGGTAAGCATCAGGATACAGGACCTTGAAAGGCCAGCCAGTCCTGACAAAAACCAAAGTTGCATTGACCAAACTGAACCAAAACTCTCCGCAGGGTTTACTGCCAGACCCTTACATCAGGATTGGGCTTTCCCTTATTCTGGGAATAAGCTTCAGTGATGACATGAGTACTACTGTACTGTGCTTCTCAGAATTGAGAAAACGAGGACCCCAATGGACAGAGATGCCTGTCCTCAGAGATGGGGCTTCCTCTCAGCACCAGCCTTTACACCACTAGCTCAAGGAAATGGCAAGTTTCTCCTGCATAGGTAGGTCCTCCTGCAGTATTAAAAGAGACAGCAAACCTCTTTTTGGTTTGGTTAAATCAAACGATATGAATTTAGCTGTGTGTAGCACAGAGGATGTGGTACTTATCAAAGGAGCTGCTGTGGCCTCAAACACAAGCAATCCATTAGACTTGGTGGAAGCACAAGGCTCACATTTAAGGGAAACTATCAAATGCCTGCCTAGAAGGTTGGCTCTTCTAGGACATATACTGTCTTTGGAAAAGGTAGCTTGCTCCACTCAACAAGAACACAGAAGTGAGCTTGCAGCCAATTCCCTCTTACTTGGCAGGTTCTACCTGTCAAGCTTTTGTGACCCCAAGGATTTGGTGCTGGCTTTGGGCTACTCAAGTACAAAAGATGATACTGATTTACTGGGTATGATGTGACTCCAAAACACACCAAAGGGAAAATACTGACTAGACATGGAGAGGAAGTGCCCAGGGCTGCTCATGCCAATCAGACCCCTAAGGGCCAGGACACTAGAGGTACAGAGAGGCCTTCACAGGGGCAGAAGACCTCAGAGTCACTGAGGTCCTCAGATACCAAGGCAAGACACTGAAGGAAGTGTTACCTCCCCCATGATTTTCTCCCACAGCTCTACCTACTACCCGATGATGGTGTAATTTGCTTAGACACCTTCTGTCTTGGAGGAATCCCCCAGAGCTGGGACACCCCACCTTGTACTAACTGTAGCCTCAAAGTCTGGCTAATGTGAGGAGGGACCTGCCCTCTCTCTGCTCTTCACTGATGTTTCAAACAACCTCCATGGTGAGGGCAATCCAAGCTTTCCTCACAAAGCTGCATCAAGTAACTGAACTTCCTGATGATCAGCTCTAGACTGACTCTAGCAGTGGATTTTCCTGCCTGGACTCCAGGCTTCTGAGAAGGCATGAACACTTTACCACTCTCTGAAGGACCCTGGGCAGCCCACTCCATTTTTAAATTCTCCTTCATCCATCCAGATGTGTAATGCCTGGAGCTTAAATCCCAAGGCAGCTTCCAATTAATGATGAAAATGATAAACAGAAAATGAGCTGCTGCCAGTGCAATTAAGGTGAGTACTGTGTCTCCTCTTCAAAGGTGGGCTCAGAAGACGAGGTGCAGAGCTGCTGCTGCTAGGGCAGTCACTGATGACAAAGCCAGGGCCACAGGACCCTTCCATTCTCCCAAACAAGAAAACCACTCCTAGATCCTATGTAAAAGGCAACGCCACTGTCCAAATGCACAAGGAAAGTGCTTTACAGCCTTCCTCTGCCCTGGGCTCTGTGTCTGCAAGTGAGCAAAGCCAGGGAAGCCGCTCTCTGCACTCGGGGAGTGCGCAGGGAAGCTCTGTGGGTCCCAGTTTCCTGAGGGCTATGTGGGCTCAGGACACTAGAGGCTGGGCCGACAAGAATCTGTTCCAAGGAGGCACCAGGAATCCGAATCTACGTCGGGCTTTGGATCCATTTCCACGTCTTCCATTGCTGTCTGGGTTCCTCTGGAGTGCATCCCAACCTGTGCAGACAGAGCAGTTCCACCTTAGCACCAGTGCTGCTGGCCATAGCATCAAGACTGTTTTCAGTACAGTCTAATCTCTCAGGATTTGCTGTCACAGTCTTGTGAAGGCTCAGGTTGCACTGTCTTAGAAACAGTCTCTATCCACTTAGGCAGTAGAGTGACTAGTTGTTCTGGTTTGCCCAGGTCTACAGCGTTTGGGGATATAGTATGAAAAGTGAAATGGCTGGGAGGTCTTAGTGCACACTTTTAATTCCAGCACGCAGGAGGCAGAAGCAGGAGGCAATCCATGAGTCTGAAGCCACCTTGGTGTACATAGTGAGTTCTAGACAAGCCATGACTACCAAGTGAGATCCTGTCTCAAAAACAAAAATAAAAACCAACCAACTGGCCTGGAGAAATGGCTCAGTGGTTAAGAGGACTGACTGCTCTTCTAGAGGTCCTGATTTCAATTCCCAGCAACCACATGGTGGCTCACAACCATCTGTAATGGGATCTGATGCCCTCTTCTGGGGTGTCCAAAGATAGCTACAGTGTACTCATATATATAAAATAAATCTTTAAAAAAAAAAAAAAAAAAAAAAAAGGGACACTCTTAAAAAAAAAAAACAAAAAACAAAAAACAAACCAACCAACCAACCAATGCCACCAGTCCTGGATAAAACAGTCTTGGTGCCTGCTACAGCTACCAACATAACCTTCTGAAGTGTTTCACAGACACTATCTCTCCTAATGTTCAAAATGACCTTATACAGTAGGTTGTATTCACTAAGTAAGAAGAACAAATTCACATTAGGGGTAAATGGCAAAGCCAAGGCATGACTCTTCCCTCACTTCTAGCTGGGTTGAGATGAAGTGATACCAAGAAGCATCACATGCAAAATGCTCTTCGAAAACTACTTAACCTGAACCCAGTAAAGCTGTAATTCTACCTTCTAGTTTTCAGAAAGAGCATGTGTGTGCTCAGGCCACTGAGTGCAGGCAGAAGGACTTGGGCTGGGAGGTGATTCTTTCCCACCACAGTGGGCTTGGGGACTGAACTCAGACTGTCAGGTTTATGTGGCAAGTGCTTTTCTTAGCTGAGCCTTAAGCTGAGCTCCAACCTTAAATCATTTTTTAGACTCTACTTTAAAACGGTTCGTCAAGGACTAGGGATGTAGCATTTGTATCAAGCATTTGCCTACCATGTGTAAGATACGGGATTAAATCCCCACTATTGCACACGTACACAAATAAAACGGTTAGAATAGGCATGTACTTGGGCAGTGGTGGCGCACACCTTTAATCCCAGCACTCAGGAGGCAGAGGCAGGTGGATCTTCCAAGTTCGAGCCCAGCCTGGTCTACTCAGAGAGTTCCAGGACAGCCAGGAAACATAGAAAACTCTGTCTGTCTCAAAACAAAACAATCAACCAACAAAAGAGAATAAAAGAATGTATATAATATACCTACCAAATGGTGTACTGTGTTAATTACTACTGAGCCTATATGGTAGGCATGTGGGTGTTGACTATGATGTTTGAACATTTTCACAATAAACATAGAAAAGCCAATTAGTAACGGAAAACAATGGAAGTTGGGTGTTAAAATGAACTAGGTAGGTCCAAGGCTCCCAGAATCAAGTACAAAGTCCCATCATTGAGAGAGAGAGAGTCACAAAGGGCTAAGTCTACTTAGTACCTTACAGCTTGTTTCTGTGAACTTTCAAAGCAGATTTAGAATTCAATTATTCTTTTAATGAATGCTCTCACCTGCTGGCCTCCTTCCAATTTCTTGTTGAGCTTTTGTAGTTGGGTAAAAATCTGGAGGTTTTCTTGCTGGAGCTTCTGCTGTTCATCCAGACACTTTAACACCAGACTCTGCAACCTGTCAACCTCCACCTGCAGAGCACTGCACGCACACGCAGGAGAGGTCAAGGCTTTGCCAACACGTGGCACTGCAGGATTCAGCCGGGGGGGCTAGGGACAAGAAGGAGACAAAGCAGAGGCTCTGCCATGGTGCCCCAGTACAAACAACCTTTACATTAACCAGTAAGGTAATACAAAGTTACGAAAAATAGGTGCAAACGAAGCAAAAAGAAAGCCTGGACTCTAGAGGCACTTGGTACTAATAGGACAAGGGACTTCCCAGAGCTTAGGGCTCATTAAGCTGCAGAATCATCTATTTGGGAGGATTTTGCAAAACTCTTATTTTTATATGTTCTACTTTAAAGTGCTGAAGTGAAGCTCTGTTCTCAGTGAGGCTCATAAAATGCAGTTGGTCACACTGTGTCAGAAATTCGAGAAGAGTTTGTGAAGAAAACTGACAAGACAATTTAGGAAGGCCAACACAGGAAGGGAAAAGCTCGCTCTCAAGTTTTAAGGGCTTTGTGACTTCTCTCCTGGGCAGGCTTTGATTTATTTTGTTGGGATTTTTCTCCTGTATACACTGTTTAAAAAATAGCAGGTCAGAGCCAGGTGTGGGGTGCACGCTTTCATCTTAGCACTCAGGAGGCAGAGGCAGTTGGATCGCTGTGAGTTTGAGGCCAGCCTGGTCTACAAAGTGAGTTTCAGGGCAGTCAGAGCCACACAGAGAAACCCTGCCTCTTAAAACCAAAATAATAATAAAATCAATAAAAATAAAATAGATAGCAGGTCAGCAAATAACAGCCAAGACATAGGCACATTCATCCGTTACGTATTACAGGTTGAACATCCCTAACCTGAAAATCCTAAATGCTCCTAAATCCAAAGCTGTTTGAACACTGACATGATACCACCTAAGCTCATGAGACGGCCTGCAGTGCAGAATGGGTATACTAAAATATGACACAAAATAACCTCCAATCACAAAATGGTCTCCAAGCTACGTCTACATATCATTATGTATATGTAGATATTCTAAAATCCACCAAAATGTGAGATTTAGAAGACTTCTGGGTCCCAATCATTTGGGTAAGAGATGCTCAATTGTCTCTTTTGTGCTACATGTCAGAGTTGTAGTTACAAAGAGAATCCCACAGAATCACATAACAATGTTGTGGCTACTCTAGAAGTGTGAAGTCATCTGGCCTACTTACTCATTTACAGTTTCATCTCTAACCAGGTTGGCTGTATATGCACTGTTGGCTGTATATGCACTGTTCTTTCAGTAGACTCCAGGCATTACTTCTTATCACAGCTCAGCTAACATTCATGGTGCCATTATAACTGAGTTTGGAGGCTAGGAACATGGCTATCTGTGAAGAGCTTGCTTAGCATGTCCAGAACTCTGGGTTGGACCCACACAGCATAACTGGGTGTGTGGCACATGCCTCTATCATCATCTGGGGGAAGGAGGCAGGAGGAACAGAGAGGTTAAAGGTTATCCTCCATCCTTGGCTGGGCTACAGAACTTGTTTCACAAAGAAACAAATCATCACAACAGAAAGACCATTTGGAAATGTACAGTTCAGTTTGGTACTCCTAAGGAGGAGAGGAAGAAATGACCCTCTGGAACGTAGAACTACTGAGAGACAGTGTAGCACTGGCCCAGAAAGCTAGAGGACATGATGAAGCCAGGAGAACCTAAGAGCTCAGAGCCACTGTCTACCAAGCTGAGGTTACAGAGGTAACTCAGTTACCCAGGCTCCCACTGCGGGCTGGTGTTCCGGAGGAACTTCAGATGCGACTTTGAGTCCTTGCAGCTCTTCATAGGGCAGAGTGTCCTTCTCAGACTGTGAAAATGCTGCACTGAGGGGAGTTGGGCTGTCAGGCATGGGGATGAACTCTGCGTTTTCCAGCTCCTAGGCATACAAGAAAGAACATCACCAGTTTAGCTGCAACAAGTTTCTTTCTCCCACGGTCTTAGTAGCTTTCACTTTTACGCTGCTGTGACAGCAGTGCCCTCTAGTGGGACAGAAGGGTGGCTGACCACTTATATTGCCTATCCTGGAACCAAACTGCCATCCCTTCAGTGATGCAAGCTCAAGTTCACCAACAGTTGTATCTGGTTCATTTCCCCAACACAATTCTACACACACTATCTGCTGGTCAGGAGGCTTGAAGGCAAGGCCCAGAAGCCCTCTGCTAGGCTGCTGGAGGCTGAGACTGGGGGGTGCTGCCTCCTCTATTCTCCATCCTCAGTTAACTGGTGAAGTCCTAGTGGATGAAGAGATTTAAATATGGAGAGCACCAGCACCACTCCTTTTTGTAAAAAATTAAAAACTCCACCATGTGTGGCAGCACAAGCCTTTAATCACAGCACTCAGGAGACAGAGGTTTGAGTTTGGAGCCAGACTGATGTACACAGTGAGTCTCAGGCTAGCCAGCAGGGATCCATAACTGCAAATGTCTGCTGCCCAAGCACACAAGCCAAGATTGAGTCAGGAAGAATATACCAAGAGGTGGGTTGAGGGCACCAATAAAATCTAGCAATCTCCTCACGCTGAGCAATAGCCACTATTACAGTGGCACCTAGACAGTTTCCTCCACATTCTTCTACGCAATGTATTTTCTGAAAAAATAAGGTCTTGCTGATTGAAACTCAATCTTTTCATATAAAAGTTTACTTTTTAAACTTTTTGTACCTTACCTTTAATCAACTGTATTTCTATCGTAAGGCATTTCAACTGCCCAATATTCCACTTCTATGAAGAAATATCATCAGTGAGCTTGATCTCTGCACAAGTACACTGTAAAACACGCCTGCAGCTCCACTGAAACTTTCTATGTACTTTCTCCGTTAGGAGGCTCCCACAGCAGTGCATTTCCTTACCACTTCTAGAACTGCCTTGGTAGTGCTATCCCTCCCTGTAGTGATGGCCCTGCTCTATACCACAGGTTAACAAAAGGTTCAGTGCCAAGAATGGTTACCTCTCTTGGAGTTGGCAAGTGAGGGCCCTTAAATTCCCAAGCACTACAGGCTATGGCCAGTATTCTTGGTTAGCCCCTAGAACTTGATAGTAAAACCCTATGCTCACTTGGCAACAGAGGCCAGAAGTTCTGTGAGTTCAATGCCAGGCTGACCTAGATAGTGAGTTCTAGGACAGCCAGGGATACAAGTGGACCTTGTATTTAAAACAAAACAAAGCAAGCCTATTGCTGAAGACATCACATAGTTGAGTCATAAAACAGAAACCAAGCTCCTCATGACTTATTATACTATACTACATGCTATACTCAGAGGTGGGCATATCTTTTAACCTTCCTCAGAGAAGCTCTCTTGACAGTATATAGTGATTAACAGAGACCTGCACAACAGGTAATGCTGCAGAGAATGAGACTGAAGAGTTCTCAGCTCTGAAGAGGACATGTAGATCATATCCTCTCCTTTCCTAGGCTCAGGGGTCACTGTGGAAGAGGAGACACAGAGACTACAGGAGCCAGAGGCGCTAGATGACTCTAAGAACACATGTCTCCTGGACACAAAAAGGGCAGCTTCATACTTAAGTTCACAGCAATTGTGACGGCATGCCTAAGACCTGTGCAAGCAAGCTCAAGCCAGATCAAATCTCAGCCCCAGCATCAAGAGCGGAAGTGGGAATGAAATCCCACTCCTAGCTAAAGACTTATTGGCAACTGCTAGCTGCTAAGAGAGGAAGAGTCGGTCTTCTTAAAGGTGTGGCTCCTAGTAGGTTAACTCTACTCCAGTAGAAGGACATATATCCAAGAGTATATGGGCAGCATAAACTACTTGATGGGCCTAAAAAAGGCAGGGGGGAAGGGGGCCAGAGGAGACAAAGTTGGGTTCTTTAGGAGGGGGAGTGGATATGGGAAGAGTTGGGGGAGAGGGATAAATATGATCAAAATGGAATGCACAAAATTTTCAAAAGACGAATAAAATAAAAAAGTCTTTCAAGATAGGTTGTAAAAACAATAACAACAAAAAAAGGTATGTTATATGCATTTACATTTAACAATGCTGGCATGAAAGAGTCGGGCCAACTGGTGGCCTGTGCCTTTAGTCCCAGCACTTGGGAAACAGAGACAAGTGGAACTCCGTGAGTTCTAAGCCAGCCAGGGCTACAAACTGAGCCCATTTTAAAACAAAATGCAGACGTGTTCTTCCCAGGTGGGACTGTGAAGCCTTGACTCCTGTCTAACTTAGTAGGGCACGAGAAACTGAGACCTTGGCTGTCCTTATTAGCTCCTGTTAGAGGCTTATCTCAAGTAGCTGTTCTAAGGGAACTACCTTCCGAAGCCAGCCAGGGCAGGAGCTGCTAGCCCCACAGCTGTTTCCCATGGCCTCTGTGGGACTGATTAAACCTTCCATTCCACGGTCTGCTTCCATTGTTCCTCGGAAGCCTCCACTTGGATCTGGAGTTTCAGATTCCTGCCGACTGTCCTCCTCTTCACCCCCGCCACCACCGCCACCAATGCCGCCGCCGCCGCCTGGGCTGGAGCTCTGAACCACTGGTAGATGTGTAGCACAGGAAAGAAAGCTTTGTTAGGCCACAGAGAGATGTACCGTCTGACACCGCATCCATTCCCAAACGAGTCCCTAAGTGCACGAAGTGGGGTGTTCAGTCAAATGTCTGAGACTAAATTGTTAGTGTTTACATAGTGTTTGCATTTGTAAAAATCATTCTACAAAGATTTGTAAAACTTTATGTGTATGGGTGGTTTTGGCGGCATGTATGTCTGAGTATCATGCACATGCAATGTCCTTAGAGGCCAAAAGGGGTGTCAGATTCTCTGCAACTTGAGTTACAGATGTCAGCAGCCATTTGAGTGCTAGGAACCAAACCCCAGTTCTCTGTAAAAGCAACAGGTGCTCTTAACTGCTGAACTGTCTTTCCAGCTCTGCAGTATTTTTTAAAAACTATTACATTGATTTATTATGTGTATGCATGTAGGCATGTGTGTGCCACAGTGCACTTGTAGAAGTCAGAAGACAACCTGTAGAGGTTAATTCTCCTTTTCTATCATATGCGTTCCAAGATTGAACTCAGGCTGTCGTGATGGCAGTATAAGCCTTTCCTCCATGAGCCATCTTACAGACCTACATTTTTACTCTTCTCTGCTATCTATCTATCATCTATCTATCTATCTATCTATCATCTATCTATCCATCCATCCATCTATCCATCCATCCATCCATCCATCCATCCATCCATCCATCTATTCATCCATCCATCCATCTATCATCTATCTATCTATCATCTATCTATCATCTATCTATCTATCTATCTATCTATCTATCTATCATCTATCTATCATCTATCTATCTATCTATCTATCTATCTATCTATCTATCTATCATCTATCTATCTTGGATATTCAAGACAAGGCTGGTTTGTATAGACCTAGCTCTCCTAGAACTTGTTCTGAAGATTAGGCTGGCCTCTTGAACTCATAGAAATCCATCTGCCTCTACCTCTAGTGTTGGGATTAAAGGTGTTGTTCCTTCAACAACCAGCTTACAAATTTTCATTCTTGAAACAGGATCCTTATATCAGCCAGGCTGGTCTTGAACTTCTGATCTTACTACTGAACTTCTACTTACTTCTTAGTGCTAGGATTATAAGCTATGTGCCACCATGCCAGGCTTACATAAAGGTATGTCTTATTACCATAATTAATGTCCATTTTCTAAATCTTAGTGCATCTCTGGCAGGTAAACACACTGAAGTGTCCTCCACTAGTATTTCTTATGTAAAAAGTTGTTCATCAGTGAGCCAAGCACCTCTTAAGTTTCCCCAAAATAAGAAGATGGATTCTGAAATATTGGCACATCTATGACTTCTCAAAGGTGAAAAACAGGAACAGTTTTAGTTTTCTGACAACCCAAGTAACAGAGAACCATGAAGAAACTTATAGTTGGAAAGCTATCAGAGGGTTTAGGCTGATTTTCCTAAGTTGAAAGCTAGTAACTGACTTTTCCTTCAGAGGGCCTGTTTTGAAGGTCAATTGTGTTTGGTTTTTGGAGACAGGGTCTTACGACGTACCTCTGGCTGGCCTGGAACTTACTATGTACACCACCTGACATCAAACTCACAAAAATCCACTTGCTTCTGCCTCCCAAGTGCTATAGAAAGACTAGACTGCCTGGAATACCACAGAAGCAAAGGCTCATGGGATGGTAAGGAATACAAATGTCCTGTTACAATATGGAGCAGCAAGTCTCTTAACTGTTTCCACATGTGATGCAGGCAAAGAAGATGAAATCACCCTGAGAACAATGCCACAGCCTCAGCACTCACCAGAAGACAACCTTCCCTCTTAAGCACAATTCCTCAACCCAAATGTCACACTGGGACCTGGGGACCACTGCTTACCAGTTCCGATGGACAGGCCACTGCTGTTAGAACGGATGGTCTTGGAATTCAACACTTTCTCTGAGGAAAGATATGCAGTAGGTAAGCACTTTGTACAGACACTGGGAGGAAGAGTGAAGGGATATGGGAGAGGGAAGAAACTATCAGTGCTATACTGACTCCCAGTAACCCAGAACTTACTATTTAGAAGTAAGCCTCATAACTGAAACACATTTTGAGCTATTGTACTCAGTGTCTGAACGGGGAATGTTCTCTTTGTGTTCACTAGAAGCACCATGGAAGCTTTATAAAGTGACAACACCCACACCCAACCCCAGAGATCCTGACTAAAGTGGTCAAGGGTCGTGCAGGACTAAGATTTATAAAAGCCAAGCTTTTATCATGCATTCCAAAGTACTCTGTATGGAAAAGGCATTTGGAAATTTTCTTTTAAAAGAATTACTAAACGTTTCTCAAGAAAACACAAATGCAGACAACAGATTATTAAACGGAAGTGATACATTCTATGATGCAGATGTGTGTTGGGGGAAGAGTTCAAAATTGTTTCATTTAAAAAAGGTCCAAATAGATGGCGGTGGAACAGCCCTGAAATCCATGCACTCAGGAGGTAGAGGTGGGTTAGGAACTCAAGGTTGTTGTTGGCTACTAAGGACTGAGTTTGAGGCTAGATTGAGTTACAAGCCCCTGACACAAAACAGTCCAACAGAGAAGAAACGGTGGATGACTAACTTGGGAAATGACAATGTTCTCTTCCTGCCACTCTGCATGACATCTTTATCCAGCACAAGACTTGAGGAAGCAGTCTCTGCTTCAGGGTACTTCCAACAATGTCACCACTAGTACCTAAGGTGTGAGTCACTCCTGTCTAAGCCACCCCAACTCTACATAGATGAAACCCTTACCAACAATAAGAATGGTGTGCCAGCCACGGCAAGAAAGGTCTGGGACATGATGCAGAGATCCAAAAATAGGCCGAGGCCATGAGGTACAGATATCAGAGCCATGTGGTCTCTCTGTGGGAGTCATTGCCAGGCGGCCATTACCACCATTACCCCAGGCAAAAATGTGATTATCTAGAAAAGAATTAAAGAGCAGATTAATGAGACTATTTTCTCAATTCTATGGGTATCCCACTGTTACACCCTGAAACTAGAAAGAAGTCCTACTAAATGAAGGAAAAGCTAATTATTTCTATATATAAGTAAAAATGACTACTGCTCTGATGTCTGCCATTCATTCATTCATTCATTCATTCATTCATTCATTCATTCATTCAAACAAGTATGAGAATCTACTTCATGGCAAGTGTTTCTCAAGGTGTTTGAGGCAGGACATGAAGCCAAGCCCTTGCTCCAGTGCAGTCAGTGGGTGAATGACAATACACAAACAAATGGCTGCCTCCCGTTTCAGACTAGGCAAGTGCAATGAAGGAAGGGATGGAGGTGACTGTGAAGACCATGAATAACAGCAGGATGGGCATTTCATCATTTCAGAGAAAGCAGAGAAGTACTCTGACACTTGAGCACTCATCTAGCCAAAGTGAGGGAGTTTCCGGCAGACATAAGAGCAGGAGCAAGGGCGCACAGGTACATCTCTGCACAACAGGGAATAAGGAGATCCCTAGGAGAGAAGTAAGAGAGGGGGCAGGGTGAGGAGAGGTCCTGAGCACATGAGGCCATGCAGGACTGACTGCTGTACCAAATCAAGAAAGGCTCTGGGCAGGAGGTATTTAAGAGGACTCGAGGCTATGATGAGGCCCAACTGCAGAAGAGCAAAGGTGGGAGCAGAATGCAGTTCACGTCCTGACAGCAGACTGGGCGTGTGCTGAAGGGAGTCAACAGGACTCGCTGATGGAGAATGGGGGTGCAGGATGGAGCTGGCCCAGGTTACAAGTCTGCAAAGTCTGGGCAGAGACTTTGACGTGCCAACACTAGAAATCTGATTCTTATTCAATTTAGGCTCTCTCTCCCTTCTCTTCCTCTCCCTCCCCCTCTCTCATGAAAGGGCATGTGACAGATGATTATCTGGACAGCAGATGACTCAGTACTCATCTGGAGTACATGGGCTTACACCGACACTCTAGCCTTTGTCATCCGAGCTGAGGGGCTGTGACTAAATGTCTGAGGGTCAGAGATGGTGGTACAGCTGCAAGGTACAGCGGGGAATTGAAAGGAACGAGCTCCTGTTGGAGAAGAGGACTGAGTCCAGGGAAGAGGCTGGACGATTCTCTCACCTGCTTTTCCCCACACACCCAGCCAGTGCTGATCGGAATGTGGATCAACACTGGTGCTGAACAAGACAGACAGAAGTGCTCAATGGTTCCAGAAATATCTTACCAAAAATGTTAAATGACACGAAAATTAGGTGAACTTAGAAGTTTGGTCTTTAAAAAATTTACTATATTGGACATAAAAACATATGCCAGTTATTCAAAAACTTTTTTTCCCAATCTATAATTAAAATCTGTCTGGGAAGCTTGAGAAACATAGGCACTCACCATCGGTGGCAGCGATGGTAAACTCATCGCCACAGGAGACCCTGATCACCTGCTTCCCACCAAGGGGTCCCCCCAACAGGTTGATTCCCAGGCGCTTCTTATAATTCCCAACACCCAGCTGCCCACACTTATTACAGCCAAAAGTCAGCAACCGGCCTCGTTCTGAGAGAGAAGCAAAAAATAAAGAGCAATCACAAATGGGTTATGAAACACAGAAGGTACAGCAATGCAGACTCTATGCACTAGAACGTATAAATATGAAGTTACCCATGTGACCTTGAGGGGACAATATCTAGGCAATGTGACAAATCAGAACCATAATTTAGAATACTTATAGTAGGTGCCAATTAGAGACCATAGAATCCAGATGTTAGGAATATGATGGTTTTATTTTTTTTAAAAGAGTATTTATGGCTGGGCATAGTGGTGCACACCTTTAATTCCAGCATTCAGGAGACAGAAGCAGGTGGATCTCTGTGAGTTTGAGGCCAGCCTGCTCTACAAAGAGAGTTCCAGGACAAATGTTCAGTCAAATATTTGAGACGCAAAAAAACTCTGGCTCGAAAAACAAAATAAAGATTGATTATATGTGTGTATGCCACATGTTTGGGTGCCCTCAGAGGTCACAAGAGGGCAGCAGAGCCTCTGAAGCTGGAGTTATAGTCAGTTATGAATAGCCAAAAGTAGATGCTGGCAAAGGTACTTGGGTCCTCTGGAAGACCAGCAAAGATTATTAACCACTGAGCCATCTTTCCAGTCCAAAGTGTGGTATACTTATTAAAGTGCACATTTATCTTGTATTTATGAAGATCTTTCTTAAAAAAATCTGTGCTTGGACTGGAGAGATGGCTCAGGGGTTAAGAGCACTGGCTGTTCTTCCAAAGGTCCTGAGTTCAATTCTCAGCAACCACATGGTGGCTCACAACCATCTGTAATGGGATCTGATGCCGTCTTCTAGTGTGTCTGAAGATAGCAACAGTGTATTCATATAAATAAAATAAATAAATCTTAAAAAAAAAAAAATCTGTGCTTGAATGCCTGATTTGTTAATGAGTTAATATTGAGTACTAGGGAAAAGTCAAAAGAAAGCTAATACTTAATTATTAATTATTAATTAATTATTAAGAAAGCTAATACTTAACAGCATAAAGCATCTGAGCTCTGAAGGCATGCGACCCAACTAGGCCAACTTACCATCAATAGCAGCCGTGTGAGTCTTGCCTGGGGCAATGGTACGGATTTTGTAAAAGGACAACTGTTTGGCCAAGGTAAAGGAAGTCGTGTAGGGAACTTCATGGTATGCCTGAGACAAGTAAAACAGAGCAACAGACTCATGAAGCAAACGGTGGTGCAGGGACAGGCTAAGAATGGAAAACCTGCCGGACAGTGGTGGCGCACGCCTTTAATCCCAGCACTTGGGAGGCAGAGGCAGGCGGATTTCTGAGTTTGAAGCCAGCCTGGTCTACAGAGTGACTTCCAGGACAGCCAGGGCTACATAGAGAAACCCTGTCTCGAAAAACCAAAAAAAAAAAAAAAAAGAATGGAAAAGCCTTCTCAAACAAATTCTGCTAAGAGAGCATGCCACACAGCTTTCTATCTTCAACAGGACATAAGAAACAAGCTCAACACAGAATCAGAGAATCTGTTGCAAGAAGCAGGGATTTTTGATTACAAAACCTACATCTGTGTTGCTTACATACTCTGCCTATCAGGCAAGGGCAGGGTAAAATCTCTCCAGCTTACAAAGAAATCAGTTACTGGAATCTAATTTCACCTTCACTACACATAGTCCTCTGAACTGATATAAAAGCCCCACGTAAAGTTCACCACAAACCTGCATCTTAATAAACCACAGTGGTAATTTTGATGCCTTTCAAACTACCCACTCTCCAGCCTTTACCCTGAGTCTGTGCTCTCCTGAGAATGGACTTTAGACACTACATACAAATTAACTCATCATGGGCTAGAGAGATGGCTCAGTGGTTAAGAGCACTAACTGTTCTTCCGAAGGACCTGAGTTCAATTCCCAGCACCCACATGATCACTTACTACTGCCTGTAACTATAGTCCCATGGGATCCAGTACCTTCTTTTGCTGTGCAAATGTACATGTAGACAAAATACCCATAGACATAAATAAATAAATCATTAAAAAAAATTTACTCAGCTTTTCATCAAGTTACGAAACTATAAATTTACTTGATTTTTCTCTATCTTTTGCAGTCAACCATGTTGAGCTGTAACCGTAAAACTTACTGCAGTTTCCTACTGCACAGCTTGGCCCTCAACTGTACATAGACATTTGTGGGATTTTTGCTTTTGATTTTTTGCTACATATAGCAGGTTGGCCTCAAACTAAAGATCCTCCTGCCTCAGCTTCCTGAGTGCTAAAATTAAAGGCAAGCACCATCACACTTAGCCTCTGTACCAACACATTTATAAAAACACCACCCTGATCAAGACAGAGGCCATTCCCTTAAGTGATTCACCTAACTTTTGATTAAGATTCATGTCCTCCAACAAAAAAAAAAGAAATATAAAGATCTGCACTTCTGACTATTGCCATCATGTTCATTTAGCCTGTCCCTGAAGTTCACATAACACAATCACATGCTGTGAACTCTTTTGTGGCTGGCTGTGGCTGACTGCTCTTATTGACATAATGTCTGTGAAGTCACTTTAAGTTAAATTCCATAGTCACTAACTTAAACAAATCCAATGCAGCATTCCTGCAAAATGGTTAAACCCTTGAGGGCCACTCACCTCATGGTTGATGAGTCCAGACATACACTGATTCAGACCCAGCTTGTTGAACTCATTGAGTCCACAGGCCAGCACTTTGCCTGACTGGGTGAGCAGAAACGTCCCATCACAGCCACACTGAACCGCAACAATGACTAAGGCTTTTGGAACATCCACCTGCAAGGAAACAATTTATTGGAAAAAAATCCCAAGTACTTAATTCTAATAATTATTAGAAAATAACCCTTAAGTTCCTTCATCATGCTGCCCAGTGGCTTGGAGATCACTCTTCCTAACATGTAGTTCAAGTTTTCTAACAGTTGAATGAACAGATGCTCCCTGTTAGTCTGTTTTAGGAATGGCTCCTACTTCTATAGAGGGGAGGCTATGCAGACTGGGAAGCTGGGAAGGGGGCAGCTCTGATCTCTAGCTGGCTTTGTCTTCTGAAATAAAGGGCTCCTTGACAGTTTTAGAAGAAAGATAGCAGCCTGGAGGATCTCAATCTTTAGAAAGTGTACATCTAGGTCTTCCAGACCCTCTACAGCTTACAGGACAGGGTTGTAGAACGAAGGATGTCAGATGGGGCCATGGGTATGAATAAAACCATGAGCCTTAGTTTCTTTTCACAAGTAGAATGGTTCAATCTAAAGACAATCTTTATATGCACCATTTAATCTTAGAATAGAAATAAAATTTGGCCATCAGTGGTATAGTACAGTAGTTAGTGTAAGTTAACCTTTCAGGATCAGGTAAGATCCTTACAGGCCCTGAGGCATGTAAGAGAGGCGTGGCTGTGCTTGTCCCTCAGCTGACTGAGGTCTTGGGAGCCTCTTACAATGTCAGCTGTGGCAGTACTGATAGTAATCAGATATGATGTCTCCTTCTGCACAACCTCTAAGCAAAGACAATTTTACATGGTGTTCAACTGTAGTAATGGAAGCCTGGTGTAATACATAATATATCACTTCCCACCATTCTTTCTTTGGGAAATTTAGCTGTCTGTGTCACTTTCTGGTTTATGTGCTGATTTTAACTTCATCTCTCAGTAAGATGTGACTCCAGTGTCCATAATAGCTGTATCTACTTTCTCAATTTCTGTGATTTAGTCAGATGACAAGACCACATTGTGCTAAATCTGGAATCCTAGACTGTCAATCTCCCTAGACAGGAAAGAGTTCAGAAATAAACACTGTGCTATGAGCAGTTGGGGAGAGAGGATGTCTTTTTGGAGTCTCTGTTTTAGACAAGCTGTAGGAAGAAGCTGCTTCTCAGTTACCCTCTGTGGTGTATAGTAATCCTCTTCTGAATCCAAACCCAGTCGTCCTGAAACACACACAAGAATGGCCGTCGTTACACCAAGGGCGTTCCTCCCCAGGAGGATGTTCTGTAAGTCTTTCTGAATTTACATTCCTGAACAGAGGTACTTGATGTGCTTAGTGCTCAAAGACTGACACCATGGTAAGTACCTGGGGGAAGCAGAGGGAACAAGCTTCACCTACCATATTCACCACAGCCCCAAGAGTAGACTTCCTTGTTTCGTGTGAGAACTACCACATGATTATCTCCACAGGAGACCTGCTCCACTGGATTGCTGAGGAAGAAGTTTAACTGCATGGGTTCTAGCACTTCAGGGCCAGAAACCTTGTCTACTCCCATGCAGCCATAATAATCTGATCCAAAGGCATAGAGCTGACCCTCATCTGCAAAAGGAAAGAAACCCATCACAGAAGTGAATTACTAAGGGAACCACATGTAGCGGTAGTATCGTAATGAACAGTCTAAATAGTTATAGGATTATTATGCTGAACGATCTTCGTATTTTCCTGGAGCCTTCCCTGTTTTGTAGACAGATATACCAGTGATGGGACTGGAAAGACAGCTTGGCAGTTAAGAATGTGTACTGCTATTCCAAAGGACTCTAGTTTGATCTCCAGCACCCACGCCAGGCAGCTCACAACTGTAACCCCAGTTTCAAGACCATTTGAGCACCTCTCCTGACCTCTGTCATTAGTATAATGCTCACGTGCACAAACCCACACTCACACACACTCACAGCCATAACACTAGAAAAATAATTCCAAGGAATTATAAAGTAAGTAATGATACAATCAAAACTAAGAGTAACTCCTGATCCACTTCTGTGACACACAAAGCCTCAAGAGGCGGTGAGATTCTCTCTCCCCAAAGCAGGACACACAGTCATTTCTCCGACCTCTGTCATTCGCCTTTTCTGCTTGCTCGTCACTCTTTCCACACAGCAAATTGGGGAGTTTCTTTTGTTTGTCTTGGTTCTGGGACCTGAACTTACGGCCTTATGTGCTAGACAAGTGCTCTACGCTGAGCTGCTCCCCTCAAACCCAGAAATGTTGTTATAAATGAGTATATTTCCTTAATGTCTTTGGGTGGGGCTTTTTTGGTAGTTGTTTACTATAAAATATCAACTGACATTGCATTATGTCCCACATTAAATGTACTCAAGACACTTTTTATTAGTGGCTTACCTGTCACACAAACAGTGAAGTCATCACCACATGACACTTGGTGGATAGCTTTTCCTTGCAACTTTTCCACATGCTTTGGCTGTCGATAAGAAGCTTTGTCTCCGTGTCCTAGCTGACCATGAAGTTTAGTGCCCCCTTGCATGTTCTGTTAAAAAAGAGGTCTTGTGAGGTTTTAACTTTTCATGCTAAAAACTAATCTTTAATAGTCTACTTCTGAAGAAAAACAGGAAGAAAAAAATAGCTGGAAATTTAAAGACAAAAGTGGGTAAGGGTATTAAACTTCTAAAAAAAATTTTTTGAGACAAGGTCTCACTATATACTGCTAGCTGTCCTGAAACTAACTCTCTGTATAAAAAGGCTAGGCAATCTGCCTGTCTCTGCCTTTTGAGGGCTGGGACACCACTATACCTCACTAGGATAAAGCATTTCAATGATTACTATAACCTTCCACCTACACGTAAAGAAGATTTTAAAGCACATCCAGATTCATATCCATCAGGCATCAGGTAAAATTCCAAATTTTGTCTTATCTTACGTGAGTCGAACTGTAAGTGAGGATGAACAGTTCATTAAAGTATAATTTGGTTGCTTTCTGCTCTAATTCGGTTTCTGTTGCTGTGATAAATATCATGACTAAAAACACCTTGGAGAGGAAAGAGTTTATAGTTTACAGTCTATCAGCAGAGGATACCAGGGCAGGAGCTCAGTCAGGAACTGAAGCAGAAGCTAGCACTGCTTACTGGTTGCTTCTTAGGGCTTGCTCAGCTTGCTTCCTTATACCACCCATGAGGACCTGCCCAGGGATGGCACCAGCCACAACGAGCTGTGCCCCATCAATCATCAATCAAGAAAAATGCTCCACCACGTGCCAATCTGATGGAGGCAAGTCCTTAACTGAGAGATTCCCTTTGTCCAGGTGACTAGTTTGTGTTGACAAAAACTAACCAAAACATTTTCTAAATAAGTATAATTTCTTAAAACCCACCTGTACTGTAAGTTTTATAAATTTTGGTCAGCTTCCTTAAAACATGGAACAGCTGTAAGGAATACAGCTATATGAAAAAGAAAACAAAACTGAGGGGGGGGGGCGAAAGAGAGAATTTGGTTCCATCAAGGAAGGGGGGGGCATGCCCTGGCTATTGTGCTTCCTTGATTCTCTCTTGAAGGTAAGCGTCCTGAAGAGAGTGTTGGCAGAGGCAAGATATTTAAGGTTGCTGTTTAATAATAAAACGTTTACCTAACTTAAGTCTAAGTCACTTTGCTGCAGTAGCTGACCTGCCTGTCTGAGTTCCTCTGAGGCCAGAAACTGCATCTCTGGCGTTTATCACCTCATCATAAAACAGCAGGGATTAATTGCTAGAGCCTTTGCCCTCTTGTCCAGATGTTTGTCAGGCTAGGAGTAAGTTTGGAGCAATAAACTTCTATTGAAGCAGAAGAGTCTTGCTTGTAGAAGGAAAAACTTTTACATGAGCAAATATGGATAAGCTCACATAAGTTCATACACAAATTCATGCTTATACAATCATATGTTTCCATTCAAACCAGTTGGGTCCAGTTACTTATCTCATAATTACACACACCCATCCATACTTACATATGCATATGGAGCAAAAGACCAAGTGCCAGTGCAGAGAGAACGCACTCATTCTGTATGAAGAATGAGCTCAATCTTTACTGCATAGAGAAAGAAAAAGCCTCTACCCTTTTAATGCTAAATGAATTAAACTTTAGTCTGTAAGAAGAAAGCTCTGTCCTCTTTAGTCAGACTAAGCCTGCCTTGCTCTTAAGAAAGGACTTGTTCTGCCCCATAGTAAGGAGGAGCCTGCCCGCTCCTGCTGCTCTCTCTGCAGCTTCTTTTCTCCTCTTTCCCTCTGCATTCTGTACGCTGCTCTCTTAGTTTTTTTTAAGTTACCTATAGTTTCTGAGTTACTCCACTCTGCATCCTCCTTCTAACCTTGCTCTCTCCTGCTCTGAGGTCACAGCGCCCTCGCTCCCAATGCTATGCTTTCCAATACAGTGTTTGCTGGTCTTTTGTACCTTTTCTAGGAGAACAGATCACAAGCATCCCTTTTTTACAAAAATCACTAGAAGTTCAAACATAAATTTAAATCATAAACTGAGTAAGAGAATGTTTACATGTATATCCAGTAAGAGTACTTATCTGGCTAAACATTTATTACCTGTCACTAACTCAACAGGTACATTGAAAGTGAAAAACCATAATTTTTGCAACTAAGTTATTAGTGAAGTTTTGTATAGATAAACCCAGTCAGTATTTTATCTTCTGCCCTTGCACTTATAGTAAATCCTTAGTTCCCCTTTGTATGACCTTTGGTTAACTATTTTACAACCTCTTCGAGTGTGTACTAAGTTGTAGATGCCTGCTTGCTATCTCAGAAGCAATTAACACTTGATTGACACTTGAAAACTGGTAGTGTTCTCAATGCAGTTTTGACATCAGAAAGGACTTAATAGCATCCTATTATGAAAGAGCTTAATAATTTCTGATATAATTTTAGGAATTCTTATAGGATCATCAAGAATTAAGAAATCATCTATTTGTCTATACAGCAGACAGTAGTATATCTTCATTGTTCTGCAGAAATCTGCTCAAAAAGGTGGGCTAATACCTAGTGATTGTTATATATATTTAATAATAACAGGAAAAACATACTAATAGCAGGAATCTTTCCTAAAATGAAATCTTCTCAGGCTTGCCTAGAGAAGCAAATCTGTCATTAACTTTGACAGTCAATGGTGGAACCATCTCAGGAAGACCATCTGCTAGTTTTTAGCTTCTCCTGGCAGAAGTCTATATGGTACTGAGAACAGTCTTCACAGTTTTCTAACAGTTTCTTAGCAATAGCAATTCTTTCCATGCCCTCACTCACATATAAGCCTTTAATAAACAGTTGTAAGGCATCACTTTCAGTCCATTTCTGGTAGCTTCCCTCAGGCTAATTCTTTAGGGAATAAGGTTTTTAGGAAATAACCACAGGTCATCAGGTCATCACTGTTACAGAGGCCAAATCACTTAAAAAAAAAAATTTCGCAATTACTCCTTGTCTATTCTCATACAGTGGAGGTAAAGCAGGGTATAAGACAAATACTTGCATCTATGAAAAAAGCTGAAGCCACTGAAATTGAAGCGCTCCCTCAGCGAGGACGCAGGGTCAAAGTGAGGCTGGTGGCCTGAAGTGCAACTACAGAGGCACAGCAACCAAACGGGGCCAGGTGACAACAGTACTTAGAGGGACATTCAATTAATGATGCTAGGTGTCACTGAGCGGTCAACCAGGATGGCAAGAGGTGTCTGCTTATTTTATCAGTTTCTAGGTCATTTGTTCAAGACCTATGCTAACTAGTGGCAAGGATGAAAGCTGTACTGTAGGTGAGTGAGGAGAGCTGCAGATCTGGAAACGTTGGTGGTGCACACCTATAACCCCAGCACTTCAGAGGGCAACAACAGGAAAGTCTTGGCATTTTATTTGTACATGAGGGGCTTGGAGTTTCCTGACATGGTGTGTGTTTCACTTGTTTATAAAGTTACACAGACACTTGCTGCTCTCATCTCATGGAAAGAGAACACAAGTACCTGACATATCTGAAATCATCTACTTGTCCATGACAGCTAGCCCAGTTGTCTGAACCCAGACCCAAGGCTGTCACATTTTTTTTCCCTCTCTCATTCTTTTATCTAAAACCACTCACAGGTGACTACCGTGTCCGGGAATGGAGCTGTATGAGTGACCTACACAGCGCATGTAGGTCTCACAGGATCCTAGTCTATCACCTCATTCCTGCAGCTCAAGGACAGCTAACAGAATGCCTACACAGCAGGGCCCAGAAGCAACATGGTTTGTCGCCCACTCTACTTACCACCCAGGTGTAAAGTTCCTTCTCCACGGTGACCACAGCAAAGTGGGTGTTCCCTGCGCACACCTGTCGAGCACTACAGCCACTCTTGATGACGTCCAATTTCTGAGGTGTGGATTTTCCACCACCCCAAACATAGACTTCACTGGTTCGTGATGTTACCACAGCAATGGGTGCTTCAGTCACAGTGCTTGACCTGCCAGCATCCCCAAACAAAGGCACATTTAACATAAAGATGGTTTCAAAGAAGAACGGGAATGTAGCTCAGTGCTTGCTGCCTAGTGTGAAAGAAGCCCTGGGCTTGATCCTCGAGGCCACATAACAAAAGCAGTAAATGGGCTAAGTAAATCCCTTTAAAAAAAAAAAAAAGTCTATTCCCTCAGAAAAACCACCAGTGTGGGCATGAGAAAGTATGTTCCTTCAATCCTCTCTTAAAACAGGCTTTCGCAAGCCCACCTAAGATAGTTAGTTCATCACAGCTCAGTCAGACCAGATTCCAGCCAGTCCCTAACAGCTCTACTTTCCAACAATTATGGTAATAACATCTACTTTATTGTTAGAGGAAATGATGGCTTTCTTCTTCTCTTTAGAAAAGACTACCTGGGGGCTAGAGAGAACTGGTTGCTTTTCCAGAGGACCCAGGTTTGAGACTCTGCACCTAGTGGCAGCTCAAACTCCAGTTCCAGGGAATCTGATGCCCTCGTCTGGCCTCTGTAGAGACCAGACCTACACATACACAGACATACACGCAGGTGAAACAGCCATATACATTTAAAAAATACATAACAAAACAACAAAAATACTCAGAAGGGGCTGAAGAGATGGCTCAACCCTACCAGGTGGCTCACAAGTGCCTGCAAACCCAGCTCTAGGGGATCCAATGCCCTGCTCTGCTCTTTGAAGGCAGCTCCATGCACACAAAGCACAAACAAGTCTTAAAAAGTAATAAAGAAGTGACCATCTGACACTTAAGCTGACATTCGCTCATAAACTGACACCAGACTGTAAGATCAATAATGCATATGCACAGACTCAAGTAAGTCTTCCAGATCAGAAACTGAAGCTACACAGCATGACCACAGCCTTCTGAGCATTACCTTGGTCTCTTTGTAGGTGCATTTAGCAGAGTGACTTTTTCTTCCATCTCTCTACCAAAAGAAAAACAAAGTTACATGAGTAAAATACCAGGTACATTGCAACCAGCCCCCTTTAATACATTTCATGAACTAAATATTATAAGCATATGTATGCATCCTACAATACGACAATTATTTAGGTAAACAACCCAAAAAACTGAGTTGCACAGACCTGACATTGTATGACTTGTTAAACACAAAGGGGAGCAGGTCTTTGCTTTGTATGTACGAGAAATGGTCTGGCCTGGGACAGGGGACCTTGAGAGTCTCTGACACACATGACAGTCGTCTCCATCTGGTCTGCCTACTGACTAACAAACTCAGCATCTCCAATCCTGGGCTTGCTATCTTTCTGCCAAGCCAGTTTTTCTTTCTGATTTCCCTATTTTTGTAACTGACAATACTCCTTCATTCTTTCCCAATCAACTTCAGTCATCTCTGACTCTCTTCTCTCCCTGTCTTCACTGTGCCATTTGTATAGATTCTGCATAGACAGTATCTTTAAAATTTTTCTCTTTCCCTCTTTGTGTGTGTCTGTGTCTCAGACTAGCTTTGACCTTGGGGCCTCCTGCCTTTGCCGTCCCGGTGCAGGGATTATAGTTGTACACCATTATACTTCATCACGGTACTTTTTCTGCTACTCTTCCTGCCCAATCTTACTAGCTTAGTTCTGCACAGCTTTGCTTCCTATTGACTCATAAACACAGTAGTGTCTTGTGGCCAGCCTTGCTTATAAGCAGCCCAATCAGTTCTTACACCCTAAACTAACCTAAGGACTGACACAAGTTCTACTGTGTAAATTCTATAGGCAGCCTTCTCATCACATAAACTATCTTCTACAAACAACTATTTTTGTTTGTTTGTTTGTTTTTCTAGACAGGGTTTCTCTGTGTAGCCCTGGCTGTCCTGGAACTCACTCTGTAGACCAGGCTGGCCTTGAACTCAGAAATCCGCCTGTCTCTGCCTCCCAAGTGCTGGGATTAAAGGCATGCACTACCACTGCCCGGCCAAACAACTAATTCTTGTGTACTCTCTTTTTTCTTCAGATATATTTTAGAGTGTGTGTGTGTGTGTGTGTGTGTGTGTGCATGCACATGCATATATGCACATGTGTGCAGGTGCTAGCAGAGGCCAGAGGAGTAGATTCCCCAGAGCTAGGTGGCTGTGAGCAGCCTGGAGTGAGTGCTGGAACTGAACATAGATCCTGCAAAGGCAGTGAGTGCTTATCTCTCCAGCCCGTGCACTCTTTTGAATTAAGCTTGGCATTCAAGCATCTGCATCCTTCTTTTTTTTTTTTTTTCTTTATAACTCATATTCTAGCCAGGCTCATCATTCTGAATAAATCTATGATTTACTATAGTATCTCTCAGGCAGCAATAATTTTTGAAAGCTCTTAAGACAGCTTGGCCAGGTCTATAACCACTAATGTAGCCAAATAAAATTTTGTGTTTCCAGAGTATTGTACACAACTTTCTGTATCTATGCTTTTAATTCTATTATTCTTTTCTGCCTAGAGTATGGCATTTTATAATCAAAGTACAAAGTACAAAATAAAAAATTCAATTAAAAATTAATTGAAAAATTTCAGTTAGAGATTAAAGCCACAATTATATTGTTGAGAAATAAGCTAGATAAAAGATTAAACATGCTTAATGAGTCCCAAATGAGATAGTGCCTGAATATGCACAGAACAAAAATAGACGCTCTCAGGCTGTATCTGGGTATAACACATAATTCTAGATATTGAAACAACAAGGCTCAGGACACACTGGGGAAGGGGGTGGGGAGAGTGTGAGCGTTGGATGACAGGAGGAGAGCTGGGTGATGCTGTCTTCTGGACACGACATGGCTGCTGCTCTCGTAACTCCATACGGTCACAGTTACCTGTACAAGAGCGAGTCAGCAGATTCCCACAGGCAGTAGTAACTAAGATTCCGTGGGTCATAAAAACATGAGCCAATGTGATGGTGGGAGGGAAGTGCTCAGGGCTTCTGGGGATGTCAAAGGGAGAAGTGAAGGGTGAATATGGTCAAGATATATTACATGCATGCATGAAATTGTCCAAGAATACATAAAAGATATTCTAGAAATATAATAAAACAAAGGGGACTGGAGAGATGGCTCAGTGGTTAAGAGCACTTACTGCTCTTACAGGAGCCAGGGCTTCAGTTTCTGTGTCCATAGGGCAGCTCACAACCATTGGTAACTCCAGTCAAAGGGCAGTTGTTGCCCTCTTCTGGTCTCTTTGGGCACCAGGTATGTATGTGGTGCATACACACATTCAAGCAATACAGACATATAAAATACAATTTAAAAAAATAATTTTAAGAAAATAAACAAAACAACTAGAAACTAGAAAAATTAGTTATGAAACAAAAATTTCAACATGCCCCAAACTATGGAACAAATAGAGGAAAATATAGGAAAAAAGCTTCAGGACATGAACTAGGCACGTCAGAACAGAGAACAGGCACCGACAGCAAAGTTAAAACATAGGAGACATCACAGGACAAAGCTTCTGTGGAGCTTGGAGAACAACACCATGAAGAAGCAGCTGCAGAGCAGGAGAATATGGGCAACTCCATCCGATAAGGAGCCAATTTCCTGAACACAAGAAGAACCTGCACCCCTCAATTAAAAGAAAACAAACCTAACCTCGTTTTAAAATGCTGATTTGAACAGACTCTGCTCAAAGATTAAAAAAAAAAAAAGTCAAGTATATAACAAATACTCAACATCAGCATCATCAGAGAAAGCACATCAAAGAAAGCCAGGGAGCTCTTCTTGCCCCAATTACAAGGCTATCACTAAAAAGGCTAAAAGGGAACACTACTTGGCAAGGATGTGGAGAGACAGGATCTTACACACTGTCGGAGGTGATATAAAATAATATGTCATGGAAAATGGTATGAAGGTTCCTCAAAAAACTAAAATAGGCTGATGTATGCCTATAATCTCAGTGCTTGAGAAGCTGAGGCAGGGGGATGGCAAGTTTGATGTCAGCCTGGGTTACAGAGCAAGGTCTTGTCTAAAGCAAAACAACACAACTCACCCCAAGTCCCTAAATGCAAATCTAAGGATACTAATGCCTCAACTGTTGAATTAAAACCTGCACAGATGTGAAGGAACAGAACCGTTGGGTCCTATCAGGACAAACCCAGAATAAATAGTTAAAGAGGTAAAAGCAAGGAGGTACCCAAAAGCAATGAGAGCAGGGTGTTGGGGAAGGAAACAGTGCCCTTTCTTGCGTACTCTCAACCATCTCTGGATGGAGTGATTTCTTTGTCAATTACCTCCTACGTTTCCTGAGAAGGGGGAGATCCAGAAGTTCATCTGCAGTGGGTCTCTGCTCAGGATCCTAAACAGTAAAAAAATTAGTTTTCTTTTAAAGTGAATGGGCAATACGGGAACCAGTTTAAAAATAAAGTCTTTTTATTTTAATTATATTTATAATATATATTTATAATTACAATTAAAATTACAATCCCTAAGAATCAGAAATCAGAATGCTTGTTGATATATCCTACCCCCTAGACATGACAGGGAAAGTGCACCCATGGATTCTCTATAATATGGCTGCTGAAAACGGCCAGCATAATGACATCATCAGTTGGCCTGCCAATGAGGACAGAGGAAATCCCACATGACCCCAGCCCTCAATGAAGAGCTACAAGTAGTCAACGGCTGACGAGTAAGGAAGAACCAGTTTCCTCCACCAAGGAGCTCCTGCATGTTGTTCAGCCCTAGACACAAGTAACATACAAGAAAACACTGTCGGATCCTCCAGAACAGGAGTAACACAGAGCTGTGAGCTGACCATATGGGTGCTGGAATTGACCCTGGGTCCTCTGGAAAAGCACCTGGTGCTCTTAACTGCTGAGCCATCCCTCAAGCCCCAGTACTATCTTCATATAATGAGGAACAATGCAGTCTTCCTTTTCTTCTAGAACCTGGACTCTACAGGTTATATACATACATACATACATAGATACATACATATGAATGAATATATTTACAGGTGTATATAGATGTAACAATAATAAAGAAGAAATCAAGAATTGGGGAGGAGGGATGTGGGAGAAAAATGAAGGGGAAAGAGGGAATGAGGCAGGAGTAATGGAGTTAGTACCCATGTATAAAATTCTCAAAAAAGGAAAAAAAAAAAAAAAACCTCAATAAAAATATTGATTTCGCCGGGCGGTGGTGGCGCACACCTTTAATCCCAGCACTTGGGAGGCAGACACAGGCGGATTTCTGAGTTCGAGGCCAGCCTGGTCTACCGAGTGAGTTCCAGGACAGCCAGGGCTACACAGAGAAACCCTGTCTCGAAAAAACCAAAAAAAAAAATAATTAAAAAAAAAAAGTATATTGATTTCTTGCCAGTGTGGTGGCCAGTCAGGGTATAGAATGAGATTTTGTCTCACAAAAATTATTTTTTCTTACATTGCATTTCATATTTAATATTTATTGAGTCTTTTGCTATTACAAACACTGCACATGAATGAGGGTTTGTACACTATGCCCTCCACATCAGTCAAGGCAACAACTCTCAAAGCACATAAGCACCTAGTCACCCAGGGCACTCGTAAAGAGATTTCTGGGTTTTATATGGAGACTGTGCAGTCCCGAGTAGGGCCCAGGAATCATCTTTTTCCTTCTAAGATCCCCAACTGGTGAATTTGATGCACGTGGCTTTGTGCCCACACCATCAGTAACACTAGAACTGAATACAGTTAGGAAACTGGTTGCTCTCACTGGGCAGTGGTGGTGCATGCCTATAATCCCAGCACTTGGGAGGCAGAGGCAGGCGGATCCCTGAGTTCAAGGCCAGCCTGGTCTACAGAGTGAGTTCCAGGACAGCCAGGGCTACACAGAGAAACCCTCAAAAAAACAAAAAACAAAAAACAGAACAAAACAAAAAAACCAACCAAACAAACAAACAAAAAGAAACTGGTTGCTCTTCTAGAGGTTCAGTTCCTGGCATCCACATGGCAGCTCACAACTGTCTATAACAGGGGCTATCCAGGGGCTCCAACACCCTAACGCACACATACGTGCAGTCAAATCATCAATGTACATAAAATAAAAATAGTTAAAAAAAAGAAACTTTAATAGAACTATATATTTTTTGTGTTAAGAATTTATTATACCTAACTATAGTTTTATAAAACCAGTTATCCTCCTACAAGGTATGATGGTATATCCCTATAGTCTCAGCACTCAAGAAGCTGAGACCAGAGGGTCACAGCAAGTTCAAAGCCAAGCCTGAGCTGTGTAGTAACAAACCTTGTCTTTTGTGTGTGTGTGTGTGTGTGTTTTAAAAAAAAGGCCGGGCGGTGGTGGCGCACGTCTTTAATCTCAGCACTTGGGAGGCAGAGGCAGGAGGATTTCTGAGTTTGAGGCCAGCCTGGTCTACAGAGTGAGTTCCAGGACAGCCAGGGCTACACAGAGAAACCCTGTCTTGAAAAAGACAAAAAAAAAAAAAAAAAAAAAAAGAATACAATTTAGATGTTAAAAACCATTTTATAATTACGTATTTTTATATTAGAAAAAAATAAGGGCTTGAGAGACCACTCAAGAGCACTGGCCGCCCTTCCAGAGGACCTGGACTCAATTCCCAGCACCTACAAGGAGGCTCACAACGGTCTATAACTTCAGTTCCAGGGGGTTTGACTCCCTGACACAGGCATACATGCAGGCAAAACACCAATGCACATAAGAATAGATAGATAGATAGATAGATAGATAGATAGATAGATAGATAGACAGATAGATAGATAAATAAAGATAGATAGATAGATAAATAAATAAATAAATTTGAAAAGGATTAGAAACAGAATAAGAGTTTGTTTGCTAAAGCCCACAGGTATCACGAACCACCAATGTTTATCCTGAGACAAGCTTGAGAAGGTAGCCATGGTTTTGTGTGCTTCATATCTATGTCATACCCCAAATACTGAGGCTATCTGAAACAGATGAATACATCAGGCCTACCTGGTCGAGGCACGAGTGTACCAACTGGATCAGTTCCAGAGAATACTGACTAGAATCAACTTCCATGGCCCGGATTCCCTGCACGATCTTCACACATAGGTTGAGTGGGTTCTAGAAGAGAAGGATGACTACATTTTTCCTGGTTATACAAAGATAGCATTTTTGGGCTTCAGGGATGACTCAGCATTTAAAGAGCACTGGATGCTTTTCTGGAGGACCCAGGTTCAATCCCCAGCACCCACAGGGTGGTTCACAACTATGTTACACTCCTATTCTGGAGGATTCAACACTGTCTCCTGACCTCTGCAGACATCGGGCACTCATGTGGCACACAGTCATATATGCAGACAAAATACCCCAAGTTCAAAGTCATCCCTGGGTAAATAGTGAGTAGGCCAGCATGCTCTACATGAGACCCTGCCCAACTCTCACAAAAAGAAGCATGATTAAGCTTGCTTGGTTTTCTGCAATTCCCTTGCTAACTAATTTGCCTCCAGCAAAAAGTTCACAAAGTATCTTAAAATGAGATAGTTAACAGCAGTGTAACAAAACCACCACCATCTTATTAAGGAAGGACTGCAAACTAGACAGGCATATTACATGTATCTTTTTGTCTTTATAGACATAATATAAAGAAGTTATTAGCATCATTAATTTGTACACAAGAAAAATGGGGCTCAGAAATATAATACAACTTGCTCAAAACCACGGGTAGTAAAAAAAAAAAAAAAAAAAAAAAAGCAAGGCATCGGCTGGGTGGTAGTGGCACAGTCCTTTAATCCCAACACTGGAGAGGCAGACAGGCCTGAGTTCAAGGCCAGCCTCATCTATACAGTGAGTTCCAGGACATCCAGGGCTACATAGAGAAACTCTATCTCAAAAATCAAACCAAACTAAACCAAAACAACAAAACACCTTTCCAAACCCACTCAAAACCCAAGGCATCACAGCATCTAAAGCCTGTCTACTCCACAAGTTGTTTTTCTTAGTCCACTATTTAGAACTAGAGGTATACCAATTAGGAAAAGAAACAGGGCTCAAAACAGACTGGTGAGTCTGCATTGCCCTACATTTCCTTTTCCCATATGCAGCATCAGAAAATCTCCACAGGGAGCTAGGCATCATTCTCAGGTGAGAGTGAGGAAACAGGATCACAGGAATGATTTGTCTACATTCTCACGCCTGGCCATGTGAATCCACTTCAGCTACTCCAAAGTGTGGCCCATGCAATATAGCCAACAGCAGCATCTAGGAGCTTGTTAGAAACACAGAACATGGCCCATCCCACCCTGACCTGTTCAAACAGAATCTGCATTTTTAACAAGATACTCAAGTGATTCTGAATGCAAATTAAAGTTTGAGAAACAGCATTTTTTTTTTTTTTTTACATTAGGCTTTAAAGAAGAGAAAAGAAAAGATTTAAAGATTTGCTGTCCATTTACTTAGGAAGTGTGGGATGTTTCAAAATACTTTGGTAGGTGTTATACGTAATATGCCTCAGCTTAAAAACAAAACTGATATAGCTAAAGTATAAGAAATGAAACAGCTTTTCTAAACTGTAGCATCACACAGATCACCCTACCTCAGTGGAGCTCAACCTTCCTAATGTTGTAGCCCTTTAATACATGCGTGGTGACCCCCAATCATAACATTATTTAGTTGTTACTTCATAACCGTAATTTTACTACTGTTATGAACTGTAATGTAATTATCTGATATGTAGGCTATCTGATATTTGACCCCCGTGAAAGAGTCATTAGACTCCCAAAAGAATCTCCACCCATAGGTTGAGAACCACTGCTCTAGAGACTTTTAAAATTATAGTCAACAAATTCAAGCACAGTGCTCCAACTGCTTGCTTATATAACCCAGGTCTAACTACAGGCCACTCATTCATTCATTCATTCATTTTTACTACAGGTGATTTCTGTTCAGGAAATCAGAATTTCAGGAATAACTGAAGTTGACTCACTTCAACACGGCCCACATTGTAAAGGCAATATGGGGACAGCACACAACTTACTGTAGCATCGAATGTTCTTTTCAGAGTAAGCAGTTCAAAAACGACACAGCCCACTGCCCAGATATCAGACTTGAAATTGTACTTTACTCCTTGGCAGAGCTCTGGAGACATGTAATATGGAGTGCCCACAAGCTAAACAACAGAAACAACAAAAAAATAGAATTAACTTCTTTTCTCGGGTACCTAGATAACCATTTCAACAGGTAAATTAAGAGCTAAAGGAAGTAATGCTAACAATCACAAAGCACTCATTAAAAACAGCTGCAAAAGCGTTTTGTGAGATGATGCCAACTCAAGGGCTCAAGCGGAGCTGAGGTGCAGCTCTGTGGGTAGAGGGCCAGCCCTGCACAGCAGGAGAAACAGTATTCTTAGCAAATCTCCTGGGCCACTTACTAAAGGGCAACTTTCGGGAAAGCACTGTGGGTGACTTGGAAGACTGAAGCTCAGTGGTTCAGGCCTCACAGACTTTACAGACAAGTCTACTCCAGACTGTAAACAGGTTAGAGTCTCTGATGGCTAATCTTGCTGGACAACTTGACCACATTTGGAATCACCTAAAACCCAAGCAGCAGGGCACACCTGTAAGGAATTTTTCTTGATTGGGTCATCTGACATGGAAACACCCACTCTACATCCAGATCCAAGGACCCACCCAAAGTGTGAGCCACACTGTCTAGTGGCAGCCCACAATAAAGGAAGCTTTTACTTTTTGCCTGTTTGCCGTCCTCTTGCTGGCAAGTTCATTTATCTTACTCCAGAGGCATTCCTTCATTGGTTTTAGAATCTACCGTTTCAGGACTCAACACAGACCAGAGACCAACTGAGACATTTGGAAGCCTTGAAGCCTTGAAGCCTTTCCTTTAGGAGATAGCCATCAGTGAGCTAGCTGGCCCACAGCCTGTGTATCACTCTAACAAGTCTCCTTTGAATATAGAATCATCCTATTAGTTCTGACCCTAGAGAGAACCTTGGCTAATACAGAGACACATTTAAAAGTTTATCAGTTCGGGGGTGAGGAGGACTCAATGCTTGAGTCCTTTATTAGAGAGGACTGGAGTTTGAAAACCAGTACCCACACCAGGCAGCTCACAAATGCCTGCGCCTCAAGTTCAAGGGATCCAATGCCCAGTTCTGGCCTACACAGGCACACACATTCAAATGCTGTGTGTGTGTGCACACACGTGCACACATATACACTAATAAATCTTTTAAAAAAATAAAATTTACCAGTGGGAAAAAGCTAAATATAGGTATAAACTGAATAAAGGAGTTAAAGGTTCTAACTGAAAGACAAATAATGAAATATTCCAAATGGCTCAAATTGATATTTGTGAAACCAATATACTAAGAATGGGCCTGGAGAGATGGCTCTGTGGTTAAGAGCATTGGCCGCTCTTCCAGAAGATGTAAGTTCAATACCCAGCACCTATATGACAAAAATGACAATTGTTTGTAACTCCAGTCCCCATGGATCTGATACCTTCTGGATGTATCAGATCTGGATCTGGATGTGATGCCTGCTTCTGGCAAAATACCCATACACATAAACAATAAAATCTAAAACAACAAAAATGGGCTCAGAGCTAGGCACAAGGGTAATGCCTGTAAATCCAGCACTTGGGAGATGGGAACAGAAGGTCAATGGCTAGATCAAGATCTTGGCTATGAAGAAAGTTTTAGGCAGTTTCAAAACAATCTAAAAGAATGGTCTTTGAAAGTTGGACAGAGCAGCACACAGCTGTAATCCTATCAGTGAGGCAGGAGGATGTCTAGGTCAAGGCTTATCTGGGCTACCTCAATGTCACTACCTCAAAAGAGAACACAAAGGTAGGAAAATAAGAATGTTGTGTATATTAACTACACCACTTCCAAGAACACCGGTTCTTTATATCTTTATATTTTATATAAAGTATTTTATATAAAGGTATTTATATCTTTAATTAGCAAAGCACAAATGTCAAAGGCTTAAATGGCATTTATATATCTTTGTATCATTTCTCATTGCATTTAACTAGCTAAAAGTTAACAGTTGAATCTTAGTTTTATCAGAAAAAAAATTCCATTACACTGTACAAATACTGAGTTCCTGAAACAGACTCTCAAGTCTGGATGGCTGCATTGTTTGCAAGCATGTCTTAATATCAGAAAACATTAGGACAAAGTTAATTGTATTAATTTACATTTCCATGTTCTTTTTTTAAGGGCAGAGCACTGTAAAACCATGTAATACTTGGTAATACTTGGGTTTTAGTGCTAAGGATAAGATCACTGTCCTAAAGGCCATCTTAGGTCTGCTTTTTAATTAATGATCCTTTTAAAATCAGGTAGGATGGCTCAGCTGCTAATGGCACTTGCTGCCAAGCCTGACAACCTGAGTTTGATCCCCAGGATCCACATGACAGAGTCGTGACTCCCACAAATCTTCCTATAACTTCCATATGCATCATGTGTACTCATACAAAAGAAACAAAGAAACATATTAGGTGTGGGAGGAGCTAAGGTGGGAGGAGTAAGGAGAGGAAGAGGAGGATTTGAGAGAGGAAGTGAAAAAAGGAAGAGGAGGAGCTAGAGAGGGCAGAGATGTAGGAGGATGGAGAACCACACAGGTATGGAAAGCACTCATGGGGAACAACTTATAAACTTATAATTAGGTTAGCTAATTGGGATACAACTCTCTTTGTATGGGCATCTTGTTATTAATCATTATCAAACATATAAAGCCTTTGATTAATCTATAAGAATTAGAGTCTCATTCTCTTACTGGGCCCGCATGGATGGTGGAATGGTCTGGGCAATGCCCAGCCTTGCGGAGACAGTGTGGAGGATTGGCAGAGCCATCTCTCACGCTGGCATCTAGTAGGTGGCAGGGCTGGTGTTTCTGGCGAGCCAGTTCTAGTTGCAGTGCATGTGGCCTCAGGCCGAGAAACATGGAGGCTGAGCTAGGCAGAGCTGCTGTGGATAAACCAGAGGCCAGTTTTAAATAATTACTACAACAATTAGGGAGCCCCTGAGACGGCCCAGTGGTTAAGAGTACTTGTAACCCTTGCAGAGGACCCAGGTGTGGTTCCCAGCATCCATAGTAGTTGGCTCACAACTGCCTGTAACCCCAATATCCTCTTCTGGTCTCTGTAGGCACCTGTACTTATGTGGTAAATCACATATACAGGCACATGTATGAACATACATTTTTAAAAACTTCAAAAAAAAAAAAAAAGATAAAGACTATACTCACTGTTTCAGCCATAGAGTACTCAGAATTAAGTTTCTTTGCTAGGCCATAGTCTCCAAGCTTTATCAGATTCGCCTTGGTCAGAAAAATATTTAATGTCTTTATATCTCTGAAAAAGAAGATATACTATATTAAACCCCTGTAACAATGACCTAACTTCCCCACCTACCTTTTCCTGGGAGCTGAATAGAATAAAAATGAGTGCTAGCACCTCCTGGTTTCTGTCACAGGTTGTAAATGCCCCACACAGTGCTCATCACCAGTTTAATGCTGGAGAAGGGGCTTAGGAAAGAAGGGCAGAGAACTATCTTCATTCTCTAGGGCTTCCCAGCAAAAGATGTCACTGGGGGAGGAGTCAGATGACAGGACAGTGCTCTAGAAAACCATATTCCTAGAAGATACACTGCTTTTCAGCTACCAGTTAGGTCTTGAATTATATACCTTAACACATAGGTGATGTCAAAGTTTCAAATAATCTGTTAGGGCGCAAGAGACTGCACGGCTCAGAAGCAGCATATGAGGCTGTTTCAATTATCGAAATGAAGCTGCCGGCCCTTTCTGAAGATGAACCGATTATATATAACACAATTCCTGGCTGGCTCATACTTGGCTTCTTTTATTACAAAATGGGAGGAAACCAGAACAGAGTATTTCTTTACTTTTAAAAAGGAAGTAACAACCATGCAATGTAGGCAGACATTCAGTAGCTTTAAAGAAATATAGTCTATACAGTCTAACTAAACGGACAAACCACTAACACAAACTCTGGTATGTTTTAATCCGTCGCCAGCAATTGCTCAGGAAGAGTATAAGGTGGAAGGGTTCTTAGAATGGTTTTCTTCTGTTGAAAGAGATGGAATGGTAACCTTCCTCTCCAAATTTTTATCAAATAAAGACTTGGAAAAATCATATATAAAATAAATAGTTTTGTATTTAAATAAAAATAAATTTGCAGTACTAACAACAATTGCCAACTACTTTTCCTCAGAGAAAACATTTACTATGCGCTCCCTTTACAGCACTTTCTGGGCTTCACTGACAATCGATGAACTCAACTCTGAGGTACAACTATAAGAAATAACTAAGTACTCACTTATCTAGCCACCGAGGAGAATCTTCTTAGGTCACAAACCTGGGTTAACCTCAGAGATCATAGACACTGTCCTTCTTTACTCACGCCTTCCCTCATTATCAACGAGGGAAACCTGACATGAATATGCTAATGGGGGTCCTGAGGGTAGAATTGGATTAGGAATGAAGATTCCAATCCACAAGTTTCTTTTCAGACATTACCTATGGAGGATTCCAGCTTTATGGATACAGCTCACTGCTGAAACAATCTGAAAAAGGTACCACACCACCATCTGCAGATTCAAAATGTTATATTTGGATTAGAAACAAAAACCCCATTTAAATACACACACACACACACACACACACACACACACACACACACACACAGGAAGCTGCAACCAGAGGTTACAACTCAGCATAACTTGATAGCCCTTGCTTGTAAGGTTGAGTAGGCAAAGAAAAGTAGTAAGGGTAAAAAGGAAACAGGTCATCTAAAATAGTTCCAAGGTCATTACATACAGTATGGTAAGCAGACTTGTGGAAAGAACCCCAGGAAGAATGCAAAGGTACAGAAAACTGGGCATACCAGTATGCAGTAATAGAACCAGGAAAGAAAGCCCATAGTGAATCATGGTGTGGAGGTAAAACGGTTAGGAAGCAGCTATAGACAGCTTCCTTGTTAGAGGTTTCCTTTCTCATGAATATCACTCAGAGCCTGGAAGGAGTCTGAACAAAAGGAAAAAAACACTCTTCATTGTTGGAAGAGTAAAGACAGAACCAGAATGCAGAATTAAACATAATCTAGCTTCCTGCCACACATATAAATTACCTCTTCTTCGAACAACTTGTCCTTCTGACGAAGGATTTTGTCATAGAGGTTCCCTCCTACAATTAAACAAAAAACAGGTTGAGTTGCTCAACGGAGACGAACACTTGGGTGCTGTATTAATAGGGCCTTTAACAGGTGACATCAGGAAATGAAGGGTTCTGCTTCCTTCCCGAAGGAAATTATTCCTTCCCTCTTGTGTTTTTTATATAGGTACAAAATTCTTTTCATCTTCCTGTCAGAAATATTTGTCAAACGTCCCCCTGCCCCATACAAGATGCTCAATACAAAAATGGGAACTCTCAGCTTTAAAACCTGAGAGTGAAGATCACTTATGTATCTCTAGGGAAACAGCTTCAAAGCCGGAGTGTGTTTTTTTCTAGACTCAGTATTTTTGTAGCAGTTTTGCCAGTGTGACTACTAGAACCTGGAGATTACACCTATGATGCACTGGTTTAAAAATACAGTGTTTATAAATAACTTTTTCTTTGTACTAAAAAGGTTTCCTAAAATCTAGGGTCTACTCCTAGATGGTTTTAAGTTATTATTACTTTTACTCATTTCTTTCTGCAAAATAAGTACAAATTTCATCTTATTTCCTAACTACAGTTCCAATTTATGAGTAAATTTTTATAATTCTCCTCCCCTGCAATTCAGTAATGAAGTGTGAAAAAAAAGTATCATTTGTTCTAGTTCCTCTTAACCCAAAAGGAAGTGACTTATGTAAGGCCCCTCCTACTTTACAAACTACTTGTGGAGCTAGAGAGATGGCTTGGCTGTTAAGTGCACTGGCTACTCTTCCAGAGGATTCGGGTTCAAGTCCCAGCACCCAAATGGCAGCTCACAAGTGTCTGTGATTCCAGTTCCAGGGGATCTGATATCCTCATACAGACATACATGCAGTCAAAACACCAATGCACATAAAAAGGAATAATAAATCTTAAAGCTATAACTGTATATTTAGGGTTGTTCAGAACCAGAGCTAATCACAAGGCACCAGTGTAGATGAATGAGCTCATACCTCCTTAATGTGCAGCTCAGAGAGGGACTCACGTGTGCTGAGACTGATAGATAATAAGGACTGTTATCAACCACTTGCTTCATGTAACGAACTCACTCAATAAATCCTTAGAATCAACAAACTCATTTAGGATGAGGCAACTAAGGCACGAGGCTGTTTTTCCCCCCCAAGGTAAGAGGGCAATGGAACTCAGGATGTGAGGTCAGTTAGAATTTAGTTTTTTCAACAACTAGGCAGAACTGCTATCTATCTATAAATATAAAAAAAATGAGTCCAAGAAATCAGAAACCATAAAAATAAGGTCACATCATACTGTCTTTCTCATTTACTTGTGATTTTTAGGCCATTTATTAGTAGATAGCATTAGTTGAAGTTAATGTAAACAAATATCCCATATAGGATTTCATTAAACATTGCATCATGTGGTACTGTGTTATGTCTAAAATGGTGAACTGTCATTCCATGAGGAAAATCCGGAAAAATATATACAAAATACAACTGAAAAACTGATTTGCAGCACCAGGAGTGGTGGCTGACACCTGCAATCTCAGCCCCAGGGAGACGAGCAGGACTGCCATCAGTTCAAGGCCGATCAGGGAGACAAGCAGGACTGCTATCAGTTCAAGGCCGATCTGGGTTATACAAGCCTGAGACGTATCGAGACTCACGAGACTCACAAAAACCAAACAATAAAAACCAGAAAGAACCCATCCCCCACCACAACACTCAGTAACTTGGAGATGGCTGGAACTCTTTACGAAAGAATGATGGAGGGAAACTCTCCCCACACTCTGAACATCATCCTGAATTTCTCCAGGGCCTCAGCCGTTTCTCCAGAAATCCACTTCAAGTTTTATCATCCCAGATCCGTTCGTATGCCCACCTCCCTCACAGTGAGACCGTCGTGAGAGTGTCTGAGGAAGTCCCACGGGCTCCGCTCACCGTTGCAGTACTCCAGCTCGATCAGCAGGGTGGTGTTGTCCATGAAGTGATTGTAGTAGGCAACAATGTTGTCGTGCTGCAGCAGCGCCAGAATGACAATCTCATTCAAGGCATCGCGACGTTCCTTCTCAGAAAGCCGGGTCAAATCAACCTCCTTCCACACCACCAGGGAGTCATCCTACAACACAGGGGAGGAGCAGTGTGTTTTCCTCTTGCCTGGCAGTGCATGGGTCCATACCCAACCTGTGAGCCTAGAGAGAAGACCTCCTAGAGGGGCAAAGAATGACTCTTTACTCCTTTTAACACTTTAAAAGGTTCTGCGCAGTTATTATAATTTGCTGAAGAACTAGGGGGAAACAAAGGTTGAAGGTGGTATTTCCTGGCTCAGAAAGATGGTTACATGTTTAAGAGAGTGTACTGCTTTTGCAGAGGATCAGAATTTGATTACCAGTGTCTACTTTGGGCAGCTCACAAATGCCTATAGCTTTGGCTCTGGGAGGGCCTGGGTGGGATCCAATGCACCTAGCCTTTGAAGGGACTGCCACTCACTTGCACATATCCAGCCTGGATTTGAGGCCAGCCTGGTCTACAGAGTGAGTTCCAGGATAGCCAAGGCTAAACAGAGAAACCCTGTCTCGAAAAACCAAAAAAAACAAAAAACAAAAACAAAAAAACAACCCTCGAAATCTTTTTAAAAATGTAATGTTATTTTAAGGGCTAGTAAGTTGGCTTAGTGGGTAAAAGTGCATACTGTCAAATCTGGTAACTTGAATTTGGCCCCAGAGCCTGCACAGTAGAAGAACTGACACCTACAAGCTGTTCTCTGACCTCCACACATATGCACAAATAAATACAGGGAAAAAAATCAAAACATTACTTTATTGCTCCCCTTAATTTGCACAGTATCAGTTGCAGGTATTTGTATTAGATGACCTGATCTCAGGGATTCTGTTGAGGGATGCTTCGGTCCCTAGCCATAATGGGGCCTGTGGCAGAGCTGGAACCTGAGGAAGAGAAGCGCATAGCAGCATCTCCATCGGACTACAGGGGCTTATAAAAAGCAAGTATTAAACCTGCCTGATTTCATACACTTCATGACTTTCATTTACTGTTTCTGAACAAGACCCCCACACACAGCTTTTTCTAATCCTCATAAGCTGCAGTCACGTCCACGCAGACTGACCTAACCTTTACTGCAATCTTCAGCTACTGCTTCCTGGCCTACCAGCACCCACAGTAACATTCCTTTAGAATATCTCAGCAAGGCCTTTCAAACTTTCTTCTGGAAAACTTCAAACTTTTTCCCATACATGTAAATACGACCCTTCCTCAGGCCCTGACGGGGAGTCCTCAGTCCTTTTTTCTCCTTTGGATATCCACACCTGAGACCCTGTTGCTAACATCACTGACCGGCCTTCTCCCTGAACTACAACCTGGAGGGAAAGGGCTGCTTCTAAAAAGCTTTGCAAGTTCGTATCTTATAAATACCATGTGACAGAGAGAACGTCATACAGTTCTGAGAAGTGTGATAAAATTAACTCAAAGCTAGTAATCAAGTTGAACATGACATATAAGACAGCGATAGGAAACTGGTACTCTCAGCTAAACTGTGAGAGAAGTGAGCCACTTAAAAATACTGACTTAAATGCTAGACAATAATAGTGACACTCATCTTTGGGCACAAATACGAACACAGACTACTACAGATGAGAATGTCCGTTAATGGGTTACTGGAATAGAAAAGAACACAAAGATATTTTCTTACAACTACTTTTCTTCCATCTTTCAGTCTTAGATACATGCTGGGGGGTGGGGGGGAGTGGAGGTATGGCTCAGTGGTAGAATGCCTTCTGAGCATTGGCAAAGCCTGTTTTATGCCCAGCACAAAAAGTGTTGGCTGGGAGCAGACAGTAGAATTGCAGGTGCATGAATCACCTTCTGCAACCTCAGCAAGTTCTCATTAAATGTTTACCCTAAAGCTAGAGCTTTAGGGCTGTGGTGATTAAACCCAACTTATGGTTAGTTATGGGAATAGAATCATTACTACAGGGTTCTAAATCAGTACACATTCTTAATTTCGGACTCAGTAACCCAGGAGTCTCTCCATTGTGAACTTATGCAAGAAGGTGGGAAAAATGACTTAGCTTCCTTGGGTTCTTAAAGAAATGGGTCCTTGTTTCCCCAGAACCAACTACACCAATAAATCAATCAATCACTGAAGGAAAAGCAAGAAGAAAACAAAAACAAGAAAACAAAAACAAAAAACAAACAAACAAACAAAAGACACAATGTTCTTTCTGGTGATCAAGGAAATCCTCTGAGTGATAATTTATGAAAAAAACAAAACAATACAAAACAACAAAACCTACAGTACTAGCAGAGTGTGTTGTAACCGCTAGTGTGGCTATTTGGAAGTACACACCAACTCCCCATCCCGACCTTCAACAGCTATATTAAAGGAAGTAAGCTTTTCTAGACTGCTCCAAATGTGCAAAGCACCTTCGCTTGGATCTCAAAATAACCTTTTAAAAAAGTAAAGTTTTTTTTTTGGGGGGGTGGAGGGGGGAGCGGAGAGGAGGTAGTTATCGCTAACTCCAATTACAAACGGGAAAGCTAAAATGCAAAAGACTGCTCAGTGACAGCGGTGATAAAACCAATTTCCTAGAGCAAGTGAAGCGAAAGCACCGTGGGGCCCCTGAGACAGAAACCCCAGGGGACGCCTGAACGTAGAGGGCTAGGGGCAAGCAGCACTGGAAAGCGGGGCCGGGAAGGAGGGCGCGGGGAGGCCCGGCAGCGGCCGGAGCCGAGGGCCGCTACCTCGGTGCGGCGGTACAGCGTGGCCTCCCCAAAGGCTCCGCGGCCCAGGACGCGGATGGGGATGTAGTGCAGCTCCTCCTGCTCCGCCGCACCGCCGGCTCGCGGCCCCGGGCTCGCGCTGGGGCCCGGGCCCGAGTCCCCGGCGCCCCCGGACTCGCTTCCGAAGTCCGAGTTGATGGAATCGCAGTGTCGCTCGTACTCGCCCAGCACCGACATGGCGGAGGCCGCAGCTCGGCAGGAGCCGCCTGCGTATCCACGGCGGGCAGCCCCGGCCGCGTAGCGCCTCACCGGCCTCAGACGGCAGCCAGCGGCTTAGGCGGCCCCGCGGCCCAGTGAGCTTCCATGGTGGCTCCTGCCCCCTGACCCGGAAGCAGTTCTCGGTGTTTCCGGCTCGCTGTGGTTTTTCCTCCGCCTTCGCGTGGTCACTTGTTGCAGATGCGTCCCGCACACCTTGGGCATTGCTGGCCTTAGCACCTGTGAGTGTCGTGGAAGCCGAAGAGCTACCACACAGCGGGCCTGCTGACCGCTTCCCTACATCCTCTACCAGCTCTCCAGACTGCGTCAGACTTTGGAGGTGGTTCAGGCTAATCTTGGCGACAAGTTTGTCCCAAGAGCTGTGTGACTGTGGTCGCAGTCACTTGGCTTGTTGGGCAGGGCTCTTGTTTGTAGAGATATTGTAGTAAAGATAATGGAGCAAGCTAAAACATTTGTCTGCTGACATCGGAGTCAGCAGGTTAAGAGCCTTCTCCTAGGACCACCATAGGTCCCCTCTTCACAACTTGTAAAATACTTTAGACCTACTTGATGCCGTTCTCTCCTGCCTTCTCATCTTCCAGATTCAACATGAAGCATTCCTGAAACATCAGGTGCCAGACATTCACCATATTTGAGAACACAGAATGGATGCTTCCTACCCTAAAGACACCAAGGGAATTGCAATACAGTCAATACAGTTTCATTATTATGTTACCCTAAACAACTTCATAACTACTGTGAACTTTTACAATTTTTTTTTCTTCTTCAGGACTATAAAGTTGCAGGACTATGACCACCACAGGATTGTCTTAAGTGGGGACTATGCTAAAGGGTCTTGTTTTTTTTTTTTGTTTTGTTTTGTTTTGCTTTTTAATGATATTATGGTCCCAAATCTTCACAGTACCATGAAAAGAAGGTTTATGTGTCTGTTGGTGGTGGGGTGGGATTGTCTTACATGATACAGCTAGTTAAGAGGAGCTTGCAAGTCAAACCCTGCAGTCTGATCCCAGAATTAGGAAAGGGCAGGGTGTGATGAAACTAAGAGGTTATGGGGCTGGCGCCGTTACACTTGTTGGGTAGAAGCAGGAAGTATGCTTTGTATGTTGTACAGTTTGGTGTTTCCTGTGGACAGTGGAAAATTAAAGAACTATATGATTAGGGCTCTATGTCCCAAGTGTGTATTTAATCATTGTGTGTATATATACATGATGGTGTAGGGAGAGTGCTTCCATGACACACATGCTGTTGTCAGAGGATAATTTTGTAGTTTCTTTCTTTCCACCATGGGTTCTGCCGATTGAATTCAAGTTGCCAGATTTGCAAGGCAAGAACCTTTGCCCACAGAGCCATCTTACTGCCTCTCAAGGCTCCAGTCTTCTGAGGAAATCTGCTTCAGGCTTGCTTTCTCTAGCACAGTGACTAAAACATCCTTTTGCTTAAGTGCCTGGCTCAGTTATTACTTTGGTCACCTTAGGGTAAGACCTAATTTCCATTTTACAAAGAACTCAGAAAGCCATGTGGAGAACAGACTGGCGGAAAGGCGAAAGACTAGTGGCCATTTCTATTCTAAGAGGTGCTGAGGCAGTATCACTGGGTGAAGAGGTTCAGCTTTCAGAAATCCATCTGGGGAACATTTAGGCTTGGTGATCAGGTGGAACTCTGGAAGTTCAGTCTAGGGCTTAACTAAATAGATCTCTCACACAGGAAGAAGTCAAGATTGGTGTGAGGGTTGAGTTCATATTCTACACCTCATCCATGTTCCATTTAATATGCGGTGACGTTCACACCGCATCTGGACAGTAGACCACAAGAGATTTCTGTTGTTTGAATCTATCTGGATCCAGTGTTTACATTATGTAATGACAGGCTGCTTGCATGATGCTTGCATTGAACTAAATCTCTTTTTTCACATCCAGTCCAAACTAACACAGGCCTCCCAACCTATTATCATCGATGCTTTAAGGATGCTTATCTATCACATTTTGATGTATACAGCTTTTATTGCTATTTCCATTTGTTAGAATGGCAGCCCCTGGCTGGGCGGTGGTGGAGCACGCCTTTAATCCCAGCACTTGGGAGGCAGAGGCAGGTGGATTTCTGAGTTCGAGGCCAGCCTGGTCTACAGAGTGAGCTCCAGGACAGCCAGGGATATACAGAGAAACCCTGTCTCGAACCCCCCAACCCCCGCAAAGATAAAAAAAAAACATCAGTCCCATGAGATCTTGGGCTTTGCCTTTTCATTGCTGTAAATCAGTACCCAGAAACGTGTGTGGCCTAATAGGGGGGACTTAAAAGAAAGGGGGGGGGGCATTGTTGAATGACTATCAGGCTGTTATCCCATGACTATGTCACACTGCCTGAGAATGACTGTTCACTAATGTTGCTTTCTGAGTGCTCTAGTTATACAAATCTTTCTGAATTTTGAGCTGTCTCACTTAACAAACACAGGTAGTACCTTCATGTGCAGGTGCTGGATTACAACACAGAATAAACATGGGTCCTATCCTCATGGAGATCAGTCTTCCAAAGAACAGGAAATAATGAGGCAGTAACAATTTTGTGTAAGTAAGCACTTTTAAAAGTCCAAGGTTTCCAGAAGGCACTTAGGAGGTGTGGATCGAAGCTGAACTCGCTGGCCATGTGAAGGATTCTCAGGAATACCCAGATTAAGTATTAATAGTGATGAGAAGGCACTTTGAGAATAAGTATTGCCTCTTATTTATCTGGGCACAGTAGATCATAGCTAAACTACTCTGTTTAACAGAATAGGAAGTCATTATATATTTGAGCTGAAATGATGGGGCAATCAGATTACTTAAAATTATAAGCATTGACTTTCATTTCAAGAAATTAAGTCTTGCTGAAGTCTAACAATTCATCTTCCTGCTCCCTTTGCACTAAAGAACTACTTAGCTGTCTTTAACTTGACTGCCTCAAACTGTGAATGACCTTAATTATGCTTACAGCTCTTAAGTTTCATTAGTGGAATGTTCTTTTGAATTGTACAGAAAATTCCTTTGAGTGAAAGTGTACAGAAAGTTCTTGCTGAATTCATTAGAGTGAACTAAAACTAATTTTAATTTTTCGAGACAAAACTTTCATGTTGCAACCCAAGCTGGCCTGGAACTATGTAACATAGGCTAGCCTCAAATTCACAACATGCTTCCTGCTTCAGCCTCCCAAGTGCTAGGACTACAGGTGTCAGTCACATGCCCAGCCTAAAACTAATCTGTAAATACCCATAGATCTTGAGATCCTCAACATTTATTTTAAAGGCCTTTGACTGAAACAGATATTCTCATATTTTAACAAATGAACAGTGTGCTATGTTGCCAATTTCTAATTTGTGAATGGCAAACAACCAGGGCCCATAAAATTACTGGAAAAGACAAGACTTCCACTGTCTGCTATTATAGCCACTAACTACAAGCAACTACTAAATGCCTACACTATAGGTATAAATGCACACTGGATTTCAAAGATTTTATATTAAAATAGGAAACATGGAATCATTTTTATATTGATGGCATATGGCAATAATTTTATAACACACTAATTAAACACTGCTGATACTTAATTCTACTTGTTTTTACTTTTTTGTGACACTGCAACATTTTAAATTATGTGTGTGGCTCATATAAGGGAGGACATCACCAGACAGAATAACTCACAAAGTATGTCAATGTAACAAATGACATGATTTTATCGAAACAAATTAACTTCTAAGTTTTGTAAAGATTTCTTTTGTTTCATACGTATGAGCGTTTTGCCTCTGTGTGTGGATACACAGTATGTGTACACCTCACACCCATAAAGCTCAGAAGGGGTACCCCTGGAACTGGAATTACAATGTAGGCACTAGAAACCAAACACCTAATAATGCTCTTCCGCAAGGGCAGCAACAAGTGCTTTCTACCAGTGAGCCATCTCTCCAGTCTCTATCAGTTCTGCTGAGCTCACTATGCTCCCTAAAACATCAGTGAGAAAACACTTCAGTGTGCATGTGTTTGTATGCACATAGAAGTTACAGGTCAGCCTTATGTGTCATTTCTCAGGAGCCATCCATCTTGGTTTTCTTGAGACATAGTCCCTCACCAAGACCTAAAGCTCAGTGGTTAGGTTAGGCTTACAGGCCAAAGAGCTCCAAGGATCCCCGTCTCTGCCTCTCCAGTACTGGGATTGGAAGCACAGGTCACCTCTTACGCACAGCTTCTTACATGAATGCTAAGAACCAAACCCAGGCGCTCATGCTTCTGTGCCACGTTCTTTACGGACTTAAGATATCTTCTCAGCTCCCACAAAGCAGTTTTGATGTTAAAATATACTTGGCCAGGTACGGTGATTCATCCTTTCAAACACAATTCTTGGACGATTAAGGCAAGGGGACTGCTATGAGTTGAGACCAGTCTGGTCTACACAAGGATTCTGTCTTTAAAACAAAACAGAACAAAAAAAACAACAAACCCAACAAAAGAAAACCCTGGAAAACAGTGTTAAAAAGGATTCACAGTAGGCTATGGATTTACTAATAAATCATATGTGTGTGTGGACTGCTAGTGATCTATAAAACACTTCATGTTGGCTTTTAGAAAGAAGATTCATGGGGAGATGAAGAGATGGCTCAGCAATTGAGAGTACCTGCTGCTTTTCCAGAGGACCCAGGTTTGATTCCCTTGGCAGCTCACAACTGTCTCTAACTCCAGTCCCAGGTGATCTGACCTGTTCTTAAGGCTTCCCCAGGTGTGCACAGACATATATGCAGGCAGAACACCATAAACATAAGAATAAATAAAAATTTAATAAGGAATATTCACGAAAAATATTAAAAAGTTAAAGGGTGGTCCCATGAAGGCTGGACGCCAAGTGTGGGGGAATTCAAGGGTGGGGAGGTGGGAGGGGGGTAGGTGGAGGCACATCCTCATAGAAGCAGGAGGAGGGGGGATGGAATAGGGGGTTTCTGGATAGGGGTGGGGACTACCCCTTTTCTGAAATGGGGCAAGGGGATAACATCTGAAATGTAAATAAAATATCCAATAAAAAAATTAAGCTGGGCAGTGGTGGCGCATGCCTTTAATCCCAGCACTTAGGAGGCAGAGGCAGGCAGATTTCTGAGTTCGAGGCCAGCCTGGTCTACAGAGTGAGTTCCAGGACAGCCAGGACTACACAGAGAAACCCTGTCTCGAAAAACCAAAATAAATAAATAAATAAATAAATTAATTAATTAATTAAAAAGTTAAAGGGGAAGAGAAATTGCCTTTGTTGTTTGGGGTGCAGTTTGCCCAGAGGGGTCAAAAGTGCAAAACCAAAACACCCCAGGGTTCCAAACTGAAAAGACATTTCAGGGACAGGGGCAAGGAAGAAACTCTGGAGGAAATAACTCCAGTGGTAGCTGTAAGATGCTACAGAACAGCTTAGAGTCCAGATCCTCTGAGGACATACAAGAAATGACTAGTGACATAAGGAATACAGAATACATGTATGTAGTGGTTTACTAGTTCACGGATAAACTTTATCCATCTGGAGTAAATCAGTGACAACGTTTTTTTCTTTAATTCATCAGTTTTCACTCCCTGTACTTTAAAAAGCAGCAATATAGAGGAATCATTGCTATCCCAGACAAAGGGGCACTAAAGATTAACAAATAAGTACACCTCACATGGTTTCTGCTAGCCTTTATTTGTGAAAGTTTACACAAAAATCTCCAACAGGTGAGCCTGTATAAAGCCCACATGCGTCTTCCCATTAACAAACAGAAGATGGCGCTGACGGGGTGGGGGGGGAGGGGTAATGACAATGGTACAGAACAAGGCTTATTGAGACTGTATTATTCTCAGATTATTTTGAATATGCTGAAAATGGAGGAAGCAGGTACTATAGCTGTTTGTAAAGCGGATGCTTTTGTGCTAGCCTACTGTCAAAGGCAAATGCTCTTCGATTAAACTGAAAGCGCACTGTCCAGTTTGGTTGGCTTTGGCATGAACCAAAACGAACGAGAGGACTTGAAAGAATTTCAGTTCTCCAAAGCTTAAGTTTACAGTTGTTCTTGGAAACAAAAACATAGACAGAATGCTCTATTTTCTCCTTTCTGAAAAACCGATATTTTTCAGAACACAAAACAGAAAACTAATAGAGTGGCTGTCATTGTTCCTTAAAGAGGGGAAGGCACAGTCAGAAAAAAGGAGTCTCTTGTTAGGCTAATGGGGCAGACAATGGTTTTGCATTTAAAAGTCTACAGATGGATTTTGACCCAAAAGTTTATTCTTTTATTGTTTATTCTCTTCAAACTTAAATTGTTCTTCTATCACTTGATATACGGATGTTACAGATTTCTGACCATCTGCTGTTGTCATGGTGAGGACTTGCCTGCTAAGATCGTAGAAGTGAGACCTATCATTTTCAACAGCAGATGGCACTGTTGTTCCAGAGAACACCTGATGCCATGCATGAGGAGTTTACGGGAATCCTAAGACAAAAAAGGCTTTTGAGTTTATAGAACTGGAACCTGAACAGAACAGCCTGAGACGTAACCACAAAAATCATTCCCCTTCACTTTTATACTTCATGCAGGTCATCCTAACGGTGATCTCAGAGAACTTCCACTTCTGTAATTCTGTAATTCCTGTAATTCTCAGAACTACAATTAAGACAAGTCCTGTAACAGGTCAGCAGGGTTAAAAGATTACCCACGTTCCCAGGAGAAGTGAGAAGGACGTTAGACGACAAGTGAGTATGTTTCCTGTTTACAAGCGTTTGTACCTACTTCCCCCCTGGTGCTGGCAATCAGGCCCAGAGCCTTCCATATGTTAGGCAGGCATTCTACCTTCCTGAGGTACTCCCCAGAACTGCCTCGAGGTACCTAAAATGAACCTTGGCTTTGTTTTTACAACATATATTTTCAAGTATTTACTATCTGTGACTTTCCCAGATGTCCAAGTTAAACCTGGTATGTCTAAGTCTCCGAGATAACACTGAAGAACAGGATTTAGATCAGTGATTGGCCACGCATGAAGGGCTGGTAAAATGTACTCTTTTTTCCTGGTACAAGTTTTATGAAAAGTTCAAGCAACCACCCATTTGCTAGAGGACTCACGCAGAACTCAATAGTGAAGCGAACAAATGATCCATATAGAAAACAGGCAAAGCCACCAACAGACATTTCACCGATAGGACATACAGATGGCAAATGACAAGCACAAGAAAGGATGCTTAACCCCATCTGCCATTAGGAAAATGCAAATTAAAACCATAATGAGATATCACGGGCACCCACTGAAGGGGCCAAGTTAAAATAGCAATGATAAAGACTAAGCAGAGTGTGGAAATGTAACATGCTTCAGCCGCTCTAGACAAGTGCAGGGAAGCGGTCTTTAGAACTGCGTGTGCTCCCACACAGCAGAGCAAATGCCCTCTTAAGCTATCCCAGAGTGAGGAAAACGCACATTCACATAAGAACTTTAGTAGTTAAGGGCCAAATCCCCTATGACCTTTAAACACAATGCAGTACCATCGGGGCACCTCATGGGAATTATGCCGAGTGGAGAAAGTCAAGCTCCAAAGGTTACACTCATGATGACCCATTTACATAACAGAGTTACAAAGGGTCAGAACAGGTGAGCAGAGGAAGGAGCCAGAACCTGAGCTGAAGAAGGGAGTGGCTAGTTACAACAGCGCAGAATGAAGGCCAGTGATGGAACTACTCTACCTTGAAATGATCGACAAGATCTACAAGTGATAAACTGGACAGAACTAAACACACACACACAAGGACGTCAAGCAGTCGAGCACAAACATTTTAATGGTCTACAATGAGATTTTCTTATAAGAGATTATCTACAGTTCAAAGCTCACTTTTTTATGTGTTCCACCCATGACCCTTTTAGGAGACATAAAATTATGAAGGATATCACCAGAAGCTATGTAAACATTTCATCTAAGGACCAAGAGAAGTTCAAGGTGTTTTCACAAGGAAACCAAAGAGACAACTGATAAGAAAGGGCTGACCGAGGTCAGAGAAATCTTGGAGGAGAACTTGAGTGAAGGACCAAGGCGATGAGCAAGTGGGAGAAAGAGCAAACAACTCAAACAGATCCTGTGAGGCGACCCAGGACGAATGCTGGCTTTGGCGTTATCTAGGTAACCTCTGTTTTTTGTTTTGTTTTTTTTTCCATAGGCGACTTTAATAATCTTGTTGCAAAACCAGTCCAAATCCTACTGCATTAAAAAGTCCTCATTGACTTGTGGGGTGTAGGTGGTGCCCATGTTCTCCCACACCAAAAGAATCAGTTCTGGCAAGAAAGCTCAGCTGTGCCTTGATGGTACTGTTAGTAGGATGGCCTTGGGCTAGGCCAGGCTCGTCCCAGCGATGTTCTGCTGGCTCAGGGGACAGAAGACTGACCCTCATTACTCTATCAACTTCTTGGCCTTAAAGAAGCGACGAAGGTAGAAGACCTGCCAGGTGGCCAGTCCAATGAGGCAGAACATGGAAAAGATGCTGAAGTACAGGACCCGGGTGTTTGTGGACTCTAAAGAAACAAAACAATACAAAAACATCACAAGGGGAATGAAGTAAGTTGCTTCAGTCGGCTAAACAATGGCCAGGGAGGAAAGACAATTCTGTCCATAGGTCTCCGAGTTCAAAAAATTAAAGAAAGCAAGCAGCAAAAGTGGGTACGATAATACACCTGTGATTTCAGCACTTGAGAGGCTTAGACAGGAGGATCCTGAGTTCCAGGACAGCCTGGGCTACATAGCAAGACCCTGATAACAAGCAGTACCTCAGTGGTACACCACTTTCTTAGCATGCACAAGGCTCTGAGTTCCATCTCTAGCCCTGCTTTGTTTTTAATCCCATTTAAAATGTAAAAAATTACAAGTTGGTATCACTTTGCTACAAGCTAACCAAAAATATAGTCATTACATATCACAAAAGAAAATTTCATTCTCCTGAAAACCTACTGAGCTGATTTACCTTTTAGTAACAATAGCCCTGAAGAAGTAATTTTCTTTCCCTAAATCATATTCCACTTTCCCAACCTGAGAAATGTCATCTAGCACTCAGTGTGCAGGATCTGTCTCCTTCATCGCTCACTGACTGAGAAGCGAACGCTCCCTGCTCACCATTGGTGTCCCTCATCTCCTCTTCCCGCTTCTTCATGTAGGCAAAGTCATTAACGATGGACTCGGAAAGGTCTTCGAGCCGCCGCAACTCCACCTCCAGTGGCTTGAGTTTCTCGACTTTTGCAATCTGGAAAAGATCAGAATTAGGACCCAACTCCCTGAAAAAATTGTTCAAGTAAAGAACACCAAAGCACAAAACAAAATAAAGATATCTAGAGGAGCAGTTTCTTAATTTACGGCTTTGCACTGTACTATACCTGTAAAGAAGTGGCATAGCACAAGAGTAAGCCAGTGTTGGAAGAAGTCCAAAACAACGGGGGAGGGATGTGAGCAGAATGCACCATCTACATGTCTGTAGACACATTCAACTCTTCTGTCAATCATCCTAAGATATTTTAAAATTCAGCTCTCTACCTGTCTCTACAAAGTATATTTTTCAACATTAATCTTTAATTTTCATTAAGATTTCTTTAAGATATGTGTAGTAGTGATTCATGTAAACCTAGCATTCTGGAGGCAGAAGCAGGAAGATCTCCAGGACAAAGTCAGCCTAGAGTACAAACAAGACTTCGAAACAAGGCTAGGGAGACGCTGTAAATGGCTCAGTGGTACGACCACTTGCTATGCAAGCAAGAAGACCTGTGCTCATCTCCAGCATCCATGTTTTTAAAAGCTAGGCATGGTGATGCAGTCTTGAAACCTCAACTCTACATCGTAGGGTGGAGACATGAAGGTGGAAGAGGCGCTCAAAGGCTGGCCAGCCCAGCTGAGAGAGCGAGTTTGAAGCTCAGTGAGACATTCTGTCTCCAAGAAAAAGGCTGGAGAGCAACAGAGCCTATGCACCACTTCCACAAAACAAACCTTCTTTACAGTTACAGTTCAGTGGAAGGCAGGAAAGGAGGAGACTGTTCCTCCACATTCCTGACTGTAATAAAGCACTTCACATTGCCTTTTCATCCTCTGGTAGGCAACAGACACTATAGGTAGTACGGCAAGAGTCGTATTAGGTCAAACATACATAGAAGAAGAAAGCATGTGTTCCTACAGTATCACAGAGTAACTCAAAAACAAAACCAAAACCAACAGGAAGATCCTGTTTACATGTGTAAGTCGTACAACACTGGGCTTGATTACGTTCAGAGCCAAGAGAAATCATACATTTGCTCAAAAAACCACCCTAAATCTACCTGACAGCTCTTCAGTTCCCTTTCAGAGGCAGCTATAGTTACCAACTCAGCATAAGGTTTTTCAGACCCGATTAGAAGATAGATAGTATTTACAGTTTTATAGCTTTTCTAGCTGGGGGTCCAGGGTTGCCATTAACCTAGTATTTATCTGTACAAAATTCCCCAAGGAAAGCTGGGAGTAGTGGCTTTAAAGTAGTAGTCTTTAATCTCAGCACCTGGGAGGCAGCAGCAGGCAGATCTCTGTGAGTTCAAAGCCAGACAGGTTTATATCGTGAGTTCCAGGACAGCCAGGGCTACAGGGTGAGACTCTGTCTCAAAGAAACAACAAAAAACAAAAGCCCAACATCCAAAACCAACCAAACAAAAAGCCCAAGGAAAAGGTACTAATAAGACATATAATAAATCAAACTTCATCTGTTTAACATCTCCCCCTTGTTCTGTACTTCCCCATCCAAAGCTTCCTGAATGAGACAGAGAAGGCAACAGTATGAAACTTCTTAGACATCAATTATTTAAGGGTCCCCAAATAGAAACTTGCAAAAAGGAACTGGAAGTGAAACTGTGGTTGTGCTCTGCCAGCTAGAAATATACATGTATATACATTATTATATATTTATATTACACACACACACACTAAGGATTGCTGTGCATGAGGCTGGCCCGGGTTATAGAAACACACACACACACACACACATACACACACACACACACACACACACACACACACACACACACACAGGATTGCTGTGCAAGAGGCTGGCCTGGGTTACAGAAACATGCATGCACACACATACATACCCACAACCCCAGCATTTGGGAAGTAAATCAGGAGGATCTGAGGCTCTAGGGCCGCTCTGCCTACCATACAATAAATCTGACGAGAGCCTAGGCTCCATGAGACCCTATTTAAGAACAAACAAGTAAATGGATGAATAAAAGGTGAACAATTATACTAGGTTAGAGGAGTCTGCTTAAATTTCTCTGACTAGTAAAGTTTCCACTGCTACAACTCTCATGTTTGTAGGTAAAAGCATAAAACTTTAAAAGAAATTCCAAATGTGTACCCCAGAAGACCCTCTTCCCTTGCCCAGGATTAAGCATCAATGACTCTATACACTAGTCAGTTCAAATATAAAAAGCGAACTCTCAAGAATGGGACTGAGCTTCACCAGCATGCACGAAGCCTTGGGTTTGATCCCCAGTGCTACAAGTAAGTAAAATTAACACTTGTTTAAAAGGAAATGAAAACCAACCACCACCCCTAACGGCTGTTCTGCTTGTCTAAAGGCCTGACTTAATGCTCCAAGTTCTAGAAGAACAGCTGCTAGTATGTTTTATGAAGACAGACCAGTACTCTGCTTTTTTCTTCTAAGGCTGAAAATAAGGTGTTTTTCCTCCCACAGCTTGATAAAGGCAGGCCACGGCAATGTGAAACGAATACTCCACTAAGGGCTGCCACTCTCTTGATCTGTTACATGTAGCCAGTAAATAATCGCAGAGTATTAGAGGAACTAAGTACTCATTTTCTGAGGCCATCATTTTACAGAGGAGGAAACTAAGCATTCCACAGTCACTCAAACTTTCCAGTGGCAGTGTACGGTTTTCAGTGGCAGGCCAGGTTGGACTAAGATGGTCTCTTGAATCTCTACCCAGGCTCGGGCATTTATTTAGCATCAAGAGTGCAAAGCTGGGCTGTAAGATAAAACCAAAGAACATGAGCCTTGAGTTCAGAAGCATACAGTCTCATTCTACCCAGTCCTACCTTCAAGTGCTAACCAGGAAGATTCTTCTGTCACCTCTGTCCACGACAGCTCTCTCTCCCTAACCCTAAAGCTACCACTGGCACAATTAGCACTCATACGCCGTCCCATTCATCCATTACAGTTCTGACTTGCATCTCAAAGAGATTACCTAATATGCAGCACTGGCTTCAAAGAAGCCAGCTTTCTCAAGTACTATGGCTCCTTAAGCAAATGCTTTATGTTCGAAGAGTACCCTGCATCTTTTCTCCATAAAGCCTACTGCCCAGAGAAAGCCGTTAATCAGACAATATCTACCATTCTAATGTGACTAATTCATATTGCATAGAAAAAACTAAAGCCATGTGGCCTTTCCTTGTCTATGCACCTTTAGAGCATCAATAAATTAAGCTTTTCCTAGAATGCATCTATGTCTGCCACTCTGAGGATGACTTGAATCCAGAGTTCCCAGACTCATCTGTACAGGTACAGAGATCACAAATCTGCAAGCAACAAACTAAAAACAGTAAGCTCAACTGCTTCAAGATCCATGGAAAAAGCCTTCTGCTTCAGTCAAATTAATTTGCTACCTTCACGGCTCAAAAAGCCAAATCAGTTCCCATAAGTTCCAAAGGCTAAACAAGAAATGTGAGGGACATGAAGCCTAACACAAGATAAAGAACAAGATTCAAGGACCAGTCTCCAGCACAGGGGAGGTGCACAAATCACAAGCCTGTTCACAGCAGTTCAGAGGGCCAAGAGGCTATCCAATGGTGCCAACCTCAGGCACTGAACTTGAAAGCTCTCATTGGTAGTGTCTAGGATGGTTCGGAGAAAGGCGGTAAGTTCTTCCACCAGCCTTGGTTCAAGTGCCTTCCTCCTGCCCTGTCCTTTAGACTGTGCAACTGGTATATGGAAGCAGAGTCCCTCTTTCCTACAGCACTCAGAGAATGAGAACACTTGGGAAATCTTTAGCTGTGGCCTCAACTATGTTTGGGGGTACCTAGTGATAGAATAGCAGACTAATAGAATCTAGCTAAAACAGGAAATTTCTTCCTGTTGAAATTTCACACATCCACAGTAAGAAAGGTTATATGCAGTCAGGAGTTAGGGACGGAATGCCTTTGTCCTCCCAGTTACACAATCAGGGACTCCCTGCAAACAGCTACTCCAGTTCACAAAAGAACAAGCTGCTTTAAAAAAAAAAAATTAGAAAACAAGAAGCCTAGATTCACATACTGCATCTAAGAGATGCTGCCATCTAAGGGGCAGAGGCAAGGCAGTAGCAGAAGTCCTTAAAACACAAGGGACCAAACATCTATTTCTGTGTATGGAGTACTCTTTCTCTTTACATTACAGCCAGTATTCTGTCTCCCAAATATAAAATACTTTATATTAAGACTATATAGCAATTTTACTAAGTCCCTCCTAACATTTCAAATAGGCTATTGTACTACTCTGTCCCACTATTAAGACACTGATTAAGCTGGGCGTGGTGATACAGGCTGGCAGTCCGAATACCTCAGACGAAGGCCAAGATGAAAACGACTGATAGTCTGAACACAGCCAGGGGCCTACATAGTTGAGATCCAGGCCAGCCTTGGCTACATGTGAGCTTCTGTCTCAAACACTAAGGCATTCCTGAATTTTAGAGGACAACAGAGGGTTTAGGAACTGAGTTCACAAACTAGAGATCTTGGATATGAAGAAAACTAAAGAAATATGCTGCTTCCTGATGCCCAGTGGTCCAAATCCTTTAGGGATAAAGGTTCTCCACTATCTCCAGAGCTTAAAATTAAATGTCTCAAAAACTCTAAATATGCTCAGTGCTCTTTGGCAATTAACTAACTAGGAAACAAAATGTTTCTGTTACCCGTATCTCAGGATAGGAGTTATTAGCCTGGGACCAGCCACAGCTATTTCTAAGCAAGGTCCAAAGAGGCTAGGAGCTTAGCCATAGACTAAAAAATGACTGATTTGGTCTGTCATAGCTACTCTAGGCCTTTGCCTCAATCTGTGCTGGTGTTGGGAGCCGGGAGGGGGGAAGTCATTAAAGAAAGTGGTGGGGAAGAGTCCGTGGTTAGGAAGCAGAACCTTAGAGCTGTGTTGTAATCATGTGCGTAAAAAGCTTAGGACATGCCAGACATCCAAAGCAGGAAGCAGGCAAAGGAAGCGATGTAGTTCCTTTCCTCTAGGGATTCCCCTCTTATATTAAGCAGAAGGTCAAAAAGATAAAATCCTTTTCCAGTGTTAGTAACATCTAAGGATACTGGAAATGCCAGGAATTTCGATTCCTGTGGTATGTGGTATGACAGTAGCATTCACACCATTCTTTAAACAAAGCCACAGTAACGCCACTGTTTTGGGGAGAGTGTGCTATGTTTCCAGTATAACAGGGCTTTCGGGTACCCCGTGATTTAATACAGAGATGCTTGATGATAGAACAAAGTTACAACAAGTTATACAGTAGAAAGCAATGTCTCTGTTTCATAGAATGATCCAAGGGTAGAAAAAGCAGCAGGAACGACACACTGCAAACACTGTACCTATTCTTGTAATTCAAAAGAGCTATATTTTCAACCCTCCAAGGCTCAGGGAACAGTGGAAGAATGTAAGCTCTGGTGGATAAGGATGCTGGGAAATGCTGTGCTCTAGGCATGACACGGCCCTTGTGCACGTGAACTCAAAGCAGCTACAGAAGACCTGAACAAGATCAAGCAGGTTAAAACTCCAGCACAGATAAGCAAAGGTCTCAGGAATATCTAACCTAGCTGAGGAGCTACTGTCTATAGATGGCTGTGTTCTTTGGGAGTGTGGCCACTATTAAGCGTCAATGCCCCATGCCCATGTGCATAAGACATTATCGACAGTACTAACTAGGCCAGTAGTCACAACCCCTGGGGGTGTCACACGACCCTTTCACATGGTCACCTAACACCATCAGAATACACAGATATCTACATTACAATTCTTAATTGTAGCAAATTAGTTATGAAATAGCAACAAAAATAATTTTATAGTTGGGGTCACCACAACATGCAGAACTGTAATAAAGAGTTGCAGCATTGGGAAGGTTGAAAACCACTCAACTAGATTCAGTGAGCTATAAAAAAGAAGACATGAGCCGGGCAGTGGTGGAGCACGCCTTTAATCCCAGCACTTGGGAGGCAGAGGCAGGCGGATTTCTGAGTTCGAGGCCGGCCTGGTCTACAGAGTAAGTTCTAGGACAGCCAGGGCTACACAGAGAAACCCTGTCTCGGGAAAAAAAAAAAAAAAAACCAAAAAAAAAAAAAAAAAAAAAGACATGAAGTTAAGAGACATGTCTGAGAGGGTCTGGAGGCATCAGAACAAGGAGAATAGGGGGTATATAGTCAAAATACATCTAATAAACACACACATACACAGACACACGCACACGCGCGCACACACAGGAACATACACACACACACACACGCACACACGCACACACATACACACACACAAAACTCAAAATATAGAAAATTTTCCTAGTATTTTATATCTCACAATAACAGTTTAACATGTTATCTTAAACGTTAACAAGATTCTTCAGAATCTTGAAAAGTTAAGATTTCACTTTTTCCTGGTGGTAATGGTATACATACACCTTTAATCCTGAACATGGAAGGCAGAAGCTGGTAGATCCCTGTGAGTTCAAGGCCAGCCTGACCTGCAGTGAGTTCCAGGACACCTAGCACTACACAGAGAACCCCTGTCTTGAGAAACTGGAAAACTTGTTTTTTTGTTTTTTGTTTTTTTTTTTTCTCACTTTTAAACTCATCAGTTAAAGAGGCTCCCCTGCTTTATTTCTTTTAATTAAACAAGCCTGGAGATACAAGCAATTGAGCCTCCACTGGGAGCTGTCTTTTATTCCTTACTGTATCACTTGCTTGCTCTAGCTACTGCTTCCAAGTAATTCTGGTTTCACTCAATTGAACACGTGAACAAGAAAAAAGAGGAAAACTCTGTGGACTTATAGTCACTATGCTACCACTTCCTGATGTACAAATGGCCAATCACTTCCTGTCTGCTTCCGTTTTAGGGCATTTCCCTCCCAAACTCTCGACAGAGCAGTATCTGTTCACCATTTTTCAAATTCTTCTACACCACTTTAAGCAACTTTTCTTTTTCTGTAATACTTCCTACCAAAGTAAGTGCCAGGCGGTGGTGGCGCATGCCTTTAATCCCAGCTCTCAGGAGGCAGAGACAGTTGGATTTCTGAGTTCGAGGCCAGCCTGGATTACAGAGTGAGTTCCAGGATAGCCAGGGCTACACAGAGAAATTCTGTCTCGAAAAAAAAACAAAAACAAATAAAACAAAAAACCAACCAAACAAAAAAACTTCCTACCAAAATAAAATATCTGTCTTTCTTAAGGTTTTTTTTGGGACAGGGTCTTGCAATGTATTCCAGGTTGACCTAGAACTTGCCAAGCAGGCAAGACTGGCCTCACACTGTGGTAATCCTTGTACCTCTTCCTCCCAAGTCCTGGGATCACAGGTGTGTACCCCAAGAGCCTCCTTCAAATTTCTACTCATTATTTTTTTAATTATTTATTTTTATCTTATATGAATTGGTGTTTTTCTTGCACACGTGTCTGTGTGAGGGTGTTGGATCTCCTGAAGCTGGAATTACAGACAGTTGTGAGCTGCCCTGTGTGTGCTGGGAATTGAACCTGATAACTTCTGAAGAGCATCCAGTGCTCTTACCTGCTGAGCCACCTCTCCAGCCCTTCCACTCATTGTTACTATGGCTTCTCTCTTGCAGCTCTTTGTATCTCCCTGCCTCCTTCCTTTACTTTAACTGGAAGTTATTTTTTGGCTACTGTTTCTCAAAAACCAGCACAGCTGTTCTAACAGACTAGCCAGCATTTGAGTCTAAGCCCTAAGATACACACACACCTACTTGTTGGTTTAGGTGAGGGAGGGGGATGATCTTAGGAATTAAAAAAAAAAAATTCTTTCTTCTGACTGAATTCTATTTAAAAATTTATGTGTGTGTGTGTGTGTATGTGTGTGTGAAAGAGTTAATGCTAATGGCATAACTGAACTCCTTACCATACCAACACACATCTGTACAGACAGCTGGTTCAGTTCATTGGTTATAAATACAGCCAGAGTTATTGTTAAAGTCTGTTAATACAGCTCTTTGTATTACTTGGATCATAGCTGGTTGTCACATGACTACTGAGAAAACCACAACCTTGTGGCCAAGTGAGGCCACTGGCCACAGCCCTCCCAGCCCTGCGTGCTACTCCGTCCTCTGTCTGTTGGAGCAGTACATACCTCTTCATAATTTTTCGCCTCTACTCCATGCTTCATGTCTAGAATCACGAGTTGGTCAGGTATCCGCCCTGTTCCTGAGAAAGAAATCAAAAGATTCATTGTGCAGAATACTTAAAATTCCGGGAAATCACCCACCCACCCTCCCTCTCCCTAACCCCTATCTGCTCAATAGAAGGAAACAGTCATAACTCCGCCCTGCCATTCTGCAGTAGCAAAGTCCTGGTTAACATCACTAACACTGCAGACAAAGCCTACATCTGTGCTGGACGCTGGAAAGCAAGCAGGGCATGTTGCTGGCAAACATCTTGAGCAGGACACAAGAGACTGTGACTGGTACAGAGGGAAGATTAGGAAAAAGAAAACTCACAGCCTCACTGCTGCACTAAGAGAAACTCAAATCACAGCAGTAGGAAGCTGAGTGGTACACACATCTACACACACGGGTGAGCAATCTTA